CTTCTGTTGAAACTACCCGTTTTAACCCCACAACGTAGCATTCCTAATTCGCAGAACGTATCATCAGAAAACTGCTGGAATCAAATTCTAGCGATCACCAAGCTATGTCTTGCGCGACCATTTTAGCCCGGTATTCTAACTGCCTGCCTGATGGGAAAGATGCAATCAAATACAGATAACGTTGAGGCCCTCCCGAGTGGAATTCAAATAAGACCCGCGAATTGAACTCCGATGCCATGAACTCCTGCCCGCTAGAGCCAGGAGGGGAAAACAAAGATGGATGCCTCTCTATTGAGGATTGAAGGGTGCCGAGGCAATGCGACGAGCTACTGCAAAGAAGCAGTAAACAATCGTAGATTGTAAAATAAGAGATACGCATCGGCGTTGAGGACTTCAGCCTCGGTGGCGGCAGTGACCTGATCATCGTTGAACAGTACCCACTGTCACGAGAAGAGTTAGTCATGTCAACAATGTCGTGTGTTGTCTCCTGAGAGCAAACACGAGGCATAAGCCATTGGATAACGGATAGACAAACCTGGTCGCCCTGCTTGCAGTAGACGTAGTAGTGTCCAGCGTCCAATTTGCCTTTGTGGACAACTGCAGAAGAGAGATCATAAATGAATTTGGATTTGTCAAGATCCTCCCTGTGCCGATGTGTCGTATATGGGAGCATGTTGATCGACAAAGGGAAATCGACCCTGCCTTCCACTTTCTCGGACACTGCTGAGCTATGCTCGAAGCGCTGCATATCATGTTAGCCAAGTCGACCGCGGTCGTCAGAGAGAAGAGACAGACCTTCAGCTGCATGCAGAGAATCGCCGGCAATTTCTTGATTCGCAAACGCTTTGTTGCTTTCTGAGGCGTACCGCCACACTCACTGCAATTGTAGACACCTGCCATCAGCCTTTCTGGCGACGTAAAGCTCTCCAGGCAACCATTTAGTGTAGGTGTCGCTGAGGGCCCGACACCACCGCCCATGGCCCGTTTCTTCGCCTGTACCTGAACGTCCAGGCTCAGATCGAGCATAGGATCTTCCGTTTTTGTAATGTTGCCGCAATTATCGCACATCACACTACTTTTAAGCTTGCCATAAAATGTTTGGTGAAAAAAGCAAGAACACCCTTGGTCGTGGTCATCCACGTGTCCTTCAGTGCTAGTATGTAACTTGTCAACGAGGAATTGGTAGTACTCGTGTGCATCCTGCTGATGGTAACCCGCCAAAGTCTACGAAGAGTCAGTATTTCAATGTGGTAGCAGTCGGCCAAGAGATCACCTACAGGACTTGCACGCCATGATGCTAGAAGAAGATTCAATGCGGCAAAACCTTCGGCTTTGTCGCTGCTGTTGAAGTCGGCAAATGCTTCTGCAACTGCGCAGCCTATGCAATCCTGGAGAGTACAATCGTGTGACTGATGGCCATTCCCCAAGAAATAGGCATTCAAGATGGGATCATGCAGTAAAGTCTGCAGGATGACGTTGAGATAACATGTTTGTCCGAGATTGTACAGACCTCGGACGCCCTGCTTTGCACAAGCGCGCTTGTTGGCGTTGTTCCTGACAAACTGTTCATCCGATGAACTTTCGCTTGATCTACGTCTCCTAGATGCTGCTGAACTTTAGCAGGTTGAATAAAATCAAGATAGACAGGATACGAACCTTGAAGCATTCCAAAAGGTAACGATCGAAGACGTTCCAAGTCATGGTCATAGACGAAGTCACCGCAACCTTGGCAGAACAGAGTACGCCCCCTTGACTCCATGTCTGCGGCTGTCAGCTACCTTCTACTGTAGAGTCGCACTAGATCGACTTACAGAACTGATGCCCAGTCTCTTTCGTATGAGCTGGTCTATCGGCAGGGGCGCACACTTCAGAGCAAGTCAAGCACGTGTACTTTGGCCTTAGCAGAGAAGCAGTACGCAGGCCTCCTTTTTGCTTCGGGGGATCATCCACCGTCAAAGGCTTAGGAAACAGAGGTAGGGGCCTAGGAGCCAGAGCATTGTGCGTTTTAAGGAACGAGCTCTTGAACAGCTCGGCAGTGTTTCCACTCTGAGTCAGTATTGCGGCGAGATGCTCTTACTACAAGTCAGTTTGAAGATTTATAGAGAGGATGGTATCGTGATGATGCCTGCTTACCGCAACCGAACTCAGCCTCCGAGAGAAGGGACGCTGAAGTAATGCTAGCCATGGTGACGAAGGTGACAGCACGAAATGAAGCTGTTCCAAGGATGTTGTCGAAAGGAAAGATCGGGATGAGAGGGTATTAGAAGAATTAAAGAAGATTTGAGAGTCTGAATGGAAGAGCTTCAGAATATATAAGACGACCGGGAAAGGCGTCAAGCAACAGATACCTTGACTCTTGCGGCCGAAGAAGGAAGTGTGGATGAATGCAAAGCATTCATAGATAGAAGTCGTCAAAGACCTTGTATGGGTTCACAATCGCATTGTGAAGCTTTCAGAGGCCAGCCTCTCAATCAACAATAGAGATCTTCAGCGTTGTGTTGCTCAAGCTGGATGGAGGCTATTGACGGCTGTGGTGAACCTGAGTGCCCCCCTGCTACCACTAAGTGTTCCGTGCGGATCGGATTGGCACCGAAGCGACCAGAGGAGCAAATGATATACCGGCAACAACACTTGATAAAAAGCAAAGCTTGAACTGCAGATGATTAAACTTGTTAAACTGATGGTGTTGCCTTAAGATTATTGAGCCGAAACTATGTGACGCCACGGAAGCTTTGTGGACGGCTTGATGTTGGTTAAAGAGATCTTTTTCTCCTCAGGGTCCGCCGCTCGGAGCGATAAGGAACCGGGCCTGGATCCGCAACCCGGGGGAGACGCCGCCTTTTGGGAGATATCTAAAGGTAAGATGTACTTGTACTGTCTCATATTGCACTCGTGAAATAAAATCTAAGAATATGCGTAGGCCATTATTTCTAAAGATAACTAGTTTTATTTCAGATGGTCATGCCATCAATCTGGCTTCAGTGGTAATGGCAAGTTTGAGATCCATCTCAACAAAAGTAGTCCATGGAAAGAGAAAGGGTCGAATGGAGGCGGCCGCATGCTGGCGAAGCAGCCCAGGCACTTGAAGCGCTCTGGTTGATCTGGTATAGCTGTGCCTCGACCATTGGGCCGGACCAGCGCTTCTCCGTCAGACTACTGCTTCTTGGTCTCCAGTTCTCGACAGTGCTGTCAATCTTCGGTATCTTCGATTTAAGAGGAAGTCCGCATGAGCACAGTTTTATACTAGGATATCCGGTCGTTGACATGATAGTTCCCAGAACAGCGCTCACCGAACACCTCTACCTCGAGGCAATGCGCTGGGCCGAGCCCGATTGGTCCCTCTCGTTGTATAGCGACCGCGTGTCGACCCGCGCGTTGAAGATCCCCGAGTACCTCCTCGAGAAGGGATGGAGGATTTGGATGTGGGCTTTGAGGAAATCGTGCTAGGGGGATTCTCAACGAACGAGGTATCTGTCGTCCTGTGGCCCCGGATCGTGGTCAGAGTGAACACCCAATGTGCAATGCGGCTATGACTTAAGGAATATCTCACATGAATGTTGCCTCAGCGTCAACAGCTCTTCGAACTTCTTCAGCTTCAGCCTCTGCAATCTTAGTGAGTATAGTGGCCTTGTTAATGTTGTCGAATGTCGCTTGACAATACCTTTTTGAGCTTCAGCTTGTCTAGCCCTCCGGAACGAATCTGCTATTGGTGCCTAGTTCCTAGTGAGCAAGAGTTTAAGTGCGAGATAAGGCTTAATTCAAAATACCTCCGGAAAGTCCACACAGAACGCATTCATATTCAAACCATAGAGGAAGCTGGCAAAGCTTTCGCTGAAACGCGTTAAACTCTCGTGCATCAATTGAAGGTGCATGAAATTCGCCTCAAGGTCTGCCATAGAATCTGCAAGTTCTGCAAACTGCGGCTCGAGAGCATTGATTGCGGGTTGCGTGTAGGCAGCATTGCTGATACTCGTCCCATAACCATGGGCTTCGCGGATTGACGATCGAGAATTGGGCCTCAGAGGAGTCGTGGGCCTGGACGAAGGTCGCGGGCGCGAGGATGACGACCGAGCGAGAGCAGGTTCCATCATAGATTCTCACAATTACGCGACGTTCGAGGAAAGCTGACCAGAATTGAGCACGAAGCTCTTGTTGCGCGGCCAACGATAAACAATCACAACACGTGATGAATTGGGCCTAGCCAGCGAGATAGTTGGGCAGGTCAGCAAAGGATATCAAACGCAGTTTGTAAATGGTTGGTATGGAATGGAATTTGTTGGAGAACCAAAGCAGATCGGTAGATAATATCTATCGAGTGTTCATGGCGTTCTGCCTCGTTAATTAAAACAGTGGGCGCCGCATTGTTGATCCCCCGCTTTTCCAGTTTGCGATCGGATCGGGAATTGAGGCGCCCCGAGGGTCCGTTGCGGCATTGATCGTCCACAGAGAGATGATGTTATAAATCGTTCGAGGTTGCCAAGGTAGAACCACTACTATTTAGTACTACTAATAATAATTATCAATTTTCCCATCCTCGTGTGCCCTTGCCCAGTCTGGCGTGAAATTGAGGATAGCAACCACCAACAACATCATAGTCTTCCCAACGGACCCCACTCTAGACCCTCGTTCTTTTAATCTCTCAGCACATGCATGCTTGTTCGTCTATTCGACGCCGTCTACTCCTTTCTTCGGCCAACTCTGTCCATTTCCGCTCATACTCCCTGCCATTATTACTCGCTGAAGGCGCATCGAAGCCTTGTTCAGTTTCAGGCTCCCTAGCTAGACGATCGATCTTCACTGTACCGTCACCGCGGAACAACCCTCCGAGGAAGGCTTCTTCATTTTGGACAGTTACATTCGCTCTCGCTGTTATTTGCGGAGGAGTTTGGCTACAGGATAAGCGCTTTCATCCCAAGAACGACTCTCCTTCTCCATCAATCTCGCAGAATATCCGGCCTGAACAGGAACCATTTCTCGGCGTCATCGATACTCTTAAAACAATGCCTACCGAATTGCCTCCCGGAACCGTGGGGAATCTCACGGCTGAGCAGGAAGCGAAACTGCAGGAATTCTGGGTGCTGCTTCTGAAAGTCTTTGGCGTTAGACTTGATGCGTTGGAGTCAGCTAAGGAAGCATCGGCCAACGCGCCGCAGGAGAACAAGAAAGAGCCCAAGCGACGATTCGGACTGTTCGGCCGAGGCAAGGATAGTGAAGATGGCACCGCGAGCGAGAAATCAGCAGAAGGGATCACAACCAACCTCGCGTCTATCAATATTTCCGATGCAGACGATAAGTACGGTCAGTCGAAGGAGTTCCAGCAAACTCTAGTTGACATGTCGCCGGAGGACATTCGGACAACATTCTGGACGATGGTTAAACAAGATAATCCCGATTCTCTGCTTTTACGCTTTCTACGGGCGCGTAAGTGGGATGTCAAGAATGCTCTCGTCATGTTTATCTCTACTATCCGCTGGAGGTTGATGGATGTGAAGGTGGATGACGATATCATGAAGAATGGCGAGCAGCATGCTCTCAAACAGTCACAGAGTTCCGATCCTACTGAAAAGAAGGCTGGCGAGGAATTCTTGATGCAAATGCGTCGGGGAAAGAGTTTTCTCCACGGTGTCGACAAATCAGGTCGGCCAATTTGCGTCGTCAGGGTGCGCCTGCATAAGGCTGGTGATCAAAGTCAAGAGGTCTTGGACCGCTTCACTGTTTACACAATTGAATCGGCGCGCATGATGCTTGCGCCTCCCGTCGAAACAGCTGTGAGTCCCAAATCTCAGGTAAAACCCGCTGAGATGCACCTGACAAATTCTAGTGTATCATTTTCGATATGACCGACTTCTCATTGGCGAATATGGTATGCCCACGATCTTCAATCTGTCGAAAACATTTACTTACCTCTGCAGGACTACTCTCCGGTCAAGTTCATGATCAAATGTTTCGAGGCCAACTATCCTGAATCATTAGGGGTTGTGCTCATTCACAAGGCGCCTTGGATCTTCTCTGGTTTGTCTTCGCCCGTAAATCGAAAGCCATATGTACTAAATTATTTCTGCACAGGCATCTGGAACATCATCAAAGGATGGCTTGATCCGGTCGTTGCTGCTAAGGTTCATTTCACTAAGAATGTCAAGGATCTGGAGCAGTTCATTCCTCGAGATCGCATCATGAAGGAGCTCGAGGGTGATGAGAATTGGGAGTACAAGTACGTGGAATGCGAACCGGACGAAAATAAGCCGATGGAAGACACTGCCAAACGAGACCAGCTGTTAGCAGAGCGACGTGAACTCGGCAAAGAAATCCAAGATGCGACCATTTCATGGATCGCGGCCAGCTCCAAAGGAGACAAGGATGCTGTGGCGACGGCTAAGGATAAGAGAAAAGACCTTATTGAGCGATTGAGGGAGCAATACTGGCAGCTTGATCCTTACGTACGTGCCAGGTCCCTGTACGATCGCTTGGATGTGATCAAAGGTAATGGCAAAATCGACTTCTATTCAGCGGAGAGCATGTCGAAGGGAAATGCGGCCAGCAGCCAATAATCCGGAGGGTCAGAAGTTGATGAGACTGAGTACTATAGACCTGACTTATCATTACCTTTTGGACATCGACGGCCTCAAAAATGAGCCATGATGGTTGCACTGGATGACAGTTTGTATATATAGAGCATTGCAGTCTATACTAATGCATCGATTCCGTCTACTCACTGTCTTGACTTTCTTACTGAATGGTATAAGAGATGAATTTGAGACTGAAGGACCACGCTAAGCTCTTGTACTGAGCCAAGGACGGCAACTTTTGGACTGTTTGTGTCGGTTTACATCTTGGACTTAATTTCCTCATGCAGAGCCTTGAGTTTATCCATGTCGGTAGGCTGGGCAGGCCATCCAATACCAAGACCCTCTGTCTCATTTGGCTTGGGAATCTGTTAATGTGCGGGTTAGCACCATTTCTCTATATACCAGGACGAATGCAAAAACGCACCATATGGAAGTGGACCTAATCAGATAGAAAAGTATGGATTAGCGCCGTGTTTCATTTCTCACGCCCAGAAACAGTCTCTTACATGGTCGACAACTTGGTGAGCAATACGGCCGTTGTTCTGCAGGATATTGAAGTCCTCGGCGCCGCTTGCTTTGGCAATCTGCTTGGCCACGGGCTATGAGGTAACACCTGTCAGCCTTCTCCTAATGAGAATAAGATTATGTAGGGACCCTGTAACCTGCGGGGGACAAGGTTCAGAGTCCGTGGACCTTATCCCACAAGGTCCTCAGGGATGTGCAAAGGGTATAGAAGGGCGGTGACACGAAATTCTGCTCGTGTCTTCCTTCTTTCTTCACATACCAGCACTTCCCTGAGGTCTTCGTCAGGGATATCAGTGAGCTTCGCACCGTGGAACTTGGGGATCACGAGCTAGTACAGACGATTCAGCCCTACTGTTAGCGAATTTATGCTTTTCTCGGCATTAATGGCATTGAAACCGCCGAAATTTATACAGAGCGGCTGCATGAGATATCATATGCCTTGGTATAGGATTGATATCTCGGGTAGGTTATGCTGCAGGCCAACGTAAAGCTGCCAGAACTTACCGCATGGCCACGGCTGAGAGGCTGGATGTCAAGGAAAGCGAAGACCTTGTCACTCTCGAAGAGCTTGAGAGAAGGGATATCACCTATTATTCACAAAGAAGCTTAGCGCCATCAAGCAGGAGTGCGTACGGCGTCATCGCAAGCTTTTCAGGTGAAAGTTGGAGACGCAACAGCTCACTGGAAGCTGGGCGGCAGGAGATAGTACTCACCCTTGATAATCTTGCAGAATATACAGGCAGCGGAAGACATTATGTAGACAACGTGTGTATTACTTAGATGGCTATACACGTAAATTAAGTGAAGTACCGATTGACAGCAGACAATAATCAATCGTGAAGTCAATGAATCGTTCAAGATGCGGGCAGGTGGGTTGAATGCGGGGTACGCGAACTTCAAAAGAACCGAAAATAAAAGAAAAGGGCGAAGGGAGCCGGATTCGAACGGAGACACTTTGTATGGTTGCGAGGTGGGTTATATTCTAAATTTGGGAGACCTCCCCGAGGAGTGGGACAAGCTAGCTCAGAACCCATTTCTTGCCTTTTACCAGAGATGGCCGTGGCTTGCCCAACATACTCCTCTTCTCAATCTTTGGACCTTTCCATCGACATAGCTGTCGATTTTGTTACTTTTATTTTTGCCTAGATTGGATCAAAGCAGTCTAAATTGTCGTGTCTTTTTTTTTAACGACATTTTGGTCCTGAGTATGCCTCAGATAGTTGTAGGAACGATACAAAGTGCGTGTTCTTTTTAGTGGGAAGCCCGTGGCTATAGTGCCACTGCGAGAGCTCCTACTCCGCCGTTGTCAATGAGTGCTATGTGCACCCCTTGACACTTGCTTTTAAAGATCATCGTGACTGCACATGGTAGACAAGCTGCACCAAAGCAAAAGTCATGAGTCTATGCTCGTGCTCAAGCCAGTTTGTTCCTATTTGATCAAAGCATCTAGAGGGTATCTCACTACTCCGTCGAGGCAGGTCCCCCCGTCCCTTTGTAGGTTTCCCAGCTACCCCAAATCTTCGGAGTTGGAGAAGCAGCCTATCCTGATGAACGGGCAAAAGTCCGCTTCTAACGGCTCGAAACCACCCAATTGACGACTATTGAACTCGATGAGATCCCCGAGACCCGCGTTGATAGGCCTGACCCCGCCCTGAGCAGTCATCTTATCTCTGCTTTCTCCGCAGGGCCTCCCTATCAAGCGGCAGTTCTTCATACCAAGGACTCGTAGATAAATTGTCGTCGTTCCTTCGTTGGAAGGCGCCATGGCACTTGCATGGAGTTCTAGGTTTGCAGCGTCACCAGCTGTCCGATTACTTTTGAAGCGAGGAGTACCGTCACATTCCGTCAAATTGGCATTTATAAGATCTCAACGGTCTTTCTCAGTCTCAAGGATCCAAGCCATGTTATCTACGGAATTGAGCGAAGCTCAGGTCGCGGCTTTACGCGCGAACAAGGACCGTCTTGCGAAAGACCTTCATCACAGTTGTCAATGGGGCTACGGTATTCGTTGGGGAGAGTAAGCATGGCATCCTGCATTCTTTCTTAACCTGGGCCGGTGCTCTTCAATGAAGCTCCCACATGATACGCTGGTCCCATGTGTAATTCGACCAGAACAGTGCTGACCGATGTCTGGCGCAGTGGACCGACGGATACCGGTATGCAGCGTCTCGCCTTGTCTGAGGAGGACAAGAGAGTTAGGGATTGGTTTATCGAGACGGCAAAGGCACTGAAGTGCAATATCACCATTGACGAGATGGGCAATATCTTTGCTGTACGCCCGGGGCGTCGAAAGGATGTGCCTGCCACGTTCATCGGCAGCCATCTGGACACTCAGCCGACCGGTGGTCGATATGACGGGATTCTCGGAGTCCTTGCGGGCATTGAAGCCTTGAAGGTCATTGACGAGATGGGAATCCAGACAGAGGGAGGCATAGGAGTTGTCAACTGGACAAAGTAAGAGCCGTTTTCCAGAATGACGTGCGCAGATTCGTGCCGCAGACAATGTAGTAACATTTCCACAGCGAGGAGGGTGCTCGATTCCCAGTTAGCATGATTTCGTCCGGCGTGTGGGCGGAGTGCATACCTCTTTCGAGGGCCCATGACCTCAAGGAAGTTCCTACGGTGGCTTCACTACCTACCGCAGCCTCCTCTCCAGAGTCGATGAAATCCGCCCTGGAAAAGATCAACTACCTTGGGAGTGTCCCATGCTCATACAAAGAAACGCCAATGGCAGCGCACTTTGAACTTCACATCGAACAGGGACCCCATCTCGAGTCTGCCAACCAGCGTGTCGGTGTAGTCACTGCCGTCCAGGCATACCGCTGGTACCGCTTGAATGTCATCGGCAGAGACACTCATACTGGTACTACAGCCTTCCAGCACCGGGCAGATGCGCTATACGCTTTTGCCCGCATGATGGTTCGCGCTAGGGAAGTTGCGTCATCTCACGGTTGCTTGGCAAGTGTTGGTATTATCGAGGCGAAGCCTGGTAGTGTCAACACCGTGCCAGGGCTTGTAAGCTTCTCCCTCGACCTTCGCGGGCCAGAGACCGAACTAGTGGCCGTCGTGGAAGCAGAATTGAGGAAGGATTTCGATGCAATTGCTGCCGAGGAAGGTAAGGGTATCGGGAAGCCATGTCGAGTGGAGTGGACCATGGATTTCGACTCCCCAGCGGTGAAATTCCACCCGGACTGCATTGAATGTGTTCAACAATCAGCGGAAGCCGTCGTTGCCGACGCTGGTGTCTCTAATCCCAAGTCACTTGTGCGGACTATCATGAGCGGTGCAGGGCATGACAGTGTTTTCACCTCCAAACGAGTCCCCACAAGTATGATCTTTGTGCCGTGCAAGGACGGATTGAGCCATCATCCCGAGGAGTTTTGCTCTGCGGACGACTGTGCCACAGGCGCATCAGTCATTCTGCAGGCAGTTATCCGATATGACAGGAGAAGATTCTCCGTTTAGAAATCGTGCTTGTCATAAGATATCAAGAAATCAAACTGTTTATATTGTTCTCTCCGATCATATCGACAACAGGCAAGCTCCATTGCGCACTTCCGTGTGTAAATTCAAGTGCTGGCATCTTACCGACAGAAACCAACAATTCTACGAGTAGCACGGGCTGATCGAACTGAGTCATGATGATTTTGCCATTAATCCTAACTAGTTCGTAACAAGAGGCATTGGCAGTACAAAAATCCTCATTCCCCAGATAGAAAGAGAAGTTCTATTTTTATCATCGGATGAGCAGGGGTGCAGCTTTTTCTGACTTTTAAAGCCTACTCAAGCCACACCTGCAGCATCCTTGAAAACCCCTTGGATGACCGAGAGACGAACAACCTTCCTTTAAGAAGCGGGGGCGCCACGGCCACGGCCAAAGCCACCGCGGAAGCTGGGGGCGAACTCGCCGGGGGCACCACCCTCCTTGGGCTCCTGCTCACGGCGGCGGTAGCCACCCTCACGGGGAGCACGGGGGCGACGCTCGCGCTCCTCACCACCCATCATGCCGCGAGGGGGAGCGTGAGAACGCTGCTGCTTGATGTGGGTAGCGGGAACAACCTCGGCGGGAAGGTGGAGCCACTCGCGGAGGTAGTCAAGACCCTAGATGAAAGAAATCAGATGCGGCTCAACTTATCGGTGGTCGACAATAAACCTACCTCGGGGGTGAGGGTGTAGTAGTAGTACTGCCACGAGAACTGGGTCTTGACATAGCCGCGGGAGTTCAGGGACTGGCAGGCCTTGATCACCTATAGTAGTAAAAACACACATGTCAGACGCAACCGTTCATCTTCCGACTTTCCTCAAGCGGTTATGGGGTCGACTCACGTAGAGGTTCTTGGTGTCAATGTCGCCATGCTTGGGAAGGTTGAAGTCCTTCTTGGCCACGAGCACACCCTCTGTTCAATAAGAAGCACCAAGTCAGTGAGAGTTCGTCATCAATTGAGCGAACCAATCTGCGCTGCGAAAGCCACACGATTGGGAGGCGACGGCAACATACCGCGGAAGAGGTACTCGTGGATCTTCTTGCGGTCTTCCTTGGGGATAAGCCTGCAGTAACATTAGTACAAATGCGAAATCATGCATGAAAGCCATGAAGCTAAAGGTAGCACTTACATTGTCGCGAGTTCCAGGCGCTATTCGGGGAATCGCTCTGACAACGCGAGGAGAATGGTTTATATGATGGAAGTGATCAAGTGGAGCGGCAGCCAAGGTTAAAAGTGCGACGCTTCCTGTTCGGGAACGCCTGTTAGGGTTGTGGCCCTGATCCGCGCGCTAGCCTGATATGCTGAACATCACATGGTCATACGAGATTGGCCTTCTTCAGCCTCAGGCATCAGCCACCGCATCTTAGTCAGCTTCCCTTATCTTCAACTCCGCCTTTGACAACCTTCAACGCCTCCTCTACGTCAACTCACACTTTACTTACATCTCGAACACCTGACCGCGCAGTCACGTCTCTAACGGCATTGACTAGCCGCTCAATCATTCGAATACACTAATTTCAGTGCCAGTCGGATACTCAACGTCCAGTATGGCATCACAAGCAGTGAACGTACTCCTTTCATCCTTTCCAGGACTTTCCCTACCTTCGACAGTCTCATTCTCTCTCCCATCCACGTCGACAATCTCCGATCTTACCGATAGAGTCTCCGCATACTTACCGTCGTCGATACCACTTCAGTCCCTTGTCTTGACCACAACAAGTAACAAACAACTTGTCCCATCATGTGAACGTCTACTTTCTCTCTTTGGCGCCTCCAATGGCGAAGTTGCAACAACGTCGAATCTCCTCCCCCTCCGGTTGACTGTTCCCCTGCGTGGAGGCAAAGGTGGTTTTGGTTCCCAGCTCCGTGCGGCTGGTGGACGTATGTCGAGCAAGCGGAAGCGCAATCAGGGGGACGACAATGGCTCCAGTCGCAACCTTGACGGTCGCCGTATTCGCACGGTCAACGAGGCCAAGGCTCTGGCCGAATATCTCGCAGTCAAACCGGAGATGGATCGGAAAGAAAAGGAAGAGCGTCGGCGCCGGTGGCAGGCTGTTGTGGAGGCTGCAGAAAAGCGCCAGGAGGAATTGAAGAACGGTGGCGGAAAGCATAAGATTGATGGACAGTGGATGGAAGACAAGGAGGAAATGAACGAAAAGGCCAGGGAGGCTGTGTTGGCAGCAATGAGGGACGGAGTGTGGACGGATAACTTACGCGACACGATCCTGGGCGGATCCAGCACGAGCGCCAGTTCTAGTGAGGGTAGTGGGCAGGATACTCAGAACAGCTCAGAGGAAGACAGCGATGAAGAACAAGAAGCCGGGGATGTACCCATGCCGTCAGAACCAGCTGTCAAGTCAGTGCCAGCCAGGAAGTTCATTGGGTTTGATGACGACGACGAGTTCATGAGTGATTCTGATGATGGAGAAACCGAGCAAATCGATGATCCGGAGGGCAAAGGAAAGGCAAAGGCTTGATTTTACATCCGACTACGATTGTTTCTCTGAATATATCATGTTAATTACGTACGGTCAGGGATTTTCAGCGTGTTTGCCTTTGGAATGTTTGTAATCTTCGCTGAACTTGAGCAATCAGAATTTACGGAATACTGCGCTCGTAATCCTCTTTTTATCATAGTTTTGGTGCTATACCTGGGCTTGTAGAGAGGTAGTTCTACATCTAAACAATCTGTTTTGCCACAATAAACTTTTTTTCCGGAGATCTGGGCGGCCGCCGACGCTTATCTATCGCATATGAAGATCGTCTCTTACATTTTTGCAACATGAGCATTTAGGCAATTATCACCATAATGTCACACTGTCTAAAGTGCACTTATTCCAGGGCCGTCAGATTCCATCAGATACCGTCAAGGCGACCAACTCTAAGCCTTCGCCTCTCCTTACTATCACCACCACGAAAGCTCTTTGCGCATGCCGAGCTCTTTGGCAACCGTCACCCGAGCCAGCTTTTAGCCAGAAGCCAGTTACGCAATCTATCAACCACTGCTCAGTCATGTCCGGAGCCCTCCAAACCTGTCGAAGATGTACTGCCCGTCTGTTGTCCAGGATGTGGTGCCTATGCGCAAACCGTCGAGCCGAACGAGCCGGGTTACTATGGCAAAACTAGGAAACATGTTCGAAAGCTCATATCGGAGACACAACGAGCGGCAAACGACAGGCCTGGAGGCGGAGAAGGAGAGACTGACTTGAGGAGTGAAGCGGAGAAAGCAGCGAGCACAATACTCAAGCTAGTCGATTCCGAAGTACCTATTCCAAAAGCTAAGCGTACGTTGGGATTTCCCTCGGTTGACTAAGGCGACGCTGATGAACTTCTTTTATCACAGATGGAGCGATGCTGGAGGAAGCCACCACAACTGCCAGCCATTTCTTGGAGAAATCCAGAGCGCCTGCACAGGTGTGCGACAGATGTCACGACTTAATTCACCACAATAAAGCTGTTTCCGTACCTACGCCTACCATTTACTCAATCCAGGAATATTTGAAAGAGTCGCCTCACAGGGATAACCGCATTTACCACGTCATCGACGCAGCAGATTTTCCCTTGTCCCTTGTCGACAATATTTACGATGCCTTGTCTATTCAAGAACCACGCTCAAAAAATCGAAGAGCCTCGACGGAGAAGTACCGATGGGGGAGGAAGTTACCAACGATATCGTTTGTCATAACCCGCTCCGATCTATTAGCTGCGACTAAGGAGCAAGTTGACTCCAAGATGGAGTACGTGCGGTCGGTTCTCCGAGACGCCTTGAAACTGTCCTCGGAAGAATTTCGGTTGGGCAATGTACATATGATTAGTGCTCATCGAGGCTGGTGGACTAAACAGGTGAAGGAGGATATTAGAGAGCATGGGGGAGGCATTTGGGTAGTTGGCAAAGCCAATGTCGGGAAGAGCAGCTTCATCGAAGCCTGTTTCCCCAAGGATTCTAGGAACCTGGAGAAGATTGCAGAACTGGTTGAACGCCGGGCGGTAGAGTCGGATATCAACCAGTTCAACGATGTCGCATTGGGTTCCGACTGCCTACTGCCGCCGGCGCCTCGAGAAGATCTCTACCCTGTCCTCCCCGTTGTCTCGTCTGTGCCAGGTACCACTGTCTCACCGATTCGCATCCCCTTTGGCCACGGTAAAGGTGAAATGATAGACCTGCCTGGACTCGACCGCGGTCAACTGCTGAACCATGTTCGTGACGAGCACAAACGCGATCTCACCATGACGAAACGGAAGAAGCCTGAGCGCCTCACGGTGAAACCCGGGCAATCGCTACTTCTCGGAGGAGGTCTCGTCCGAATAACGGCTGAAAACGCCGACCATGTCTTGATGGCGGCCTGTTTCGTCCCCATCGAAGCCCATGTTACCAAAACAGAAAAAGCCGTGGAGATGCAGGCAGGTCAGCGTCCTTATCCCGGCGAGCAGATTATGAGAGAGGAAAGCATTTCTTCGATTTCATCTGCCGGGATTTTTGAGTTGAAGTGGGATGTGACTCGCTCGCACCTGCCGACCTCCATCGCCAAGGCAGTAGAAGACCACGGTATTCCAGTGCCTCGACTCCCATACAAAGTGATGTCGACAGACATCCTAATTGAAGGTTGTGGATGGGTGGAGCTTACCGTGCAGATTCGAGCCGGTTCAACATCGGAGGGATCGGAGTCCCCAAGTTCTGTGCCTCGAGTTGAGGTCTTCAGTCCCAACGGACAGCATATCGGATCGCGGCCTCCGATCGAATGTTGGAATTTTATCGCCGAGAAGCGCGCTGCTGATAAGCGCAAGAGGCCTTCCCGAGGACGACAAAACGTTGGTCTGAAAAGACGAACGCAGCAATCCCGATAGTTAGTATGGTATGTGTCTGTTCAATCCGTGTCTGACTTTGTGGATGATGTGAAGCCAGCTCGGCGATTGTGTGTAGTATTGCATAGCGATGGTGTTCATGGGCATAGAGGGCATCGTCAAAATTCATTGCTCCCCATTCTTGCACGATATCCGATATACTAGATCTCGATGTATATAGACCACCTTGGTTCAATTTAGGACCTACATGTTGTTCCAGCAAATCATTGATTGGGGGTGTACTGGTCCGCTTCTGTAGACTTCGTTCTTTTCCTGCCTTATACGGGTATTTTATGGCTCTGTAAAGAAATGGAATGATTTTGAACTCGCAAGAAAATCGTCAATATTTGTATTTGATCGTGGAACCGCCTATAGAAGCTCGGCCTATATCTAATCGAAGGCAAATATAACAGCAGATGGTTATTGTGCCCATGTCTACTCAGCGATATTGGTAAAGCCGAAGGTGGGCTGACCAGGAACCGCATTTTCAGCCGACAGGCCTTCTCTCTTCTCACCAGTGCCCAGCACCTCACCGGTCTTGCCACCTTCATCAACAGCAATGACCTCAATCTCCTTGCAACCAGTCGTCCGCTTCAGGGTACCAAGCATCTCCTTCAGAACAGTTAATTCATCGAAGGGAAGCTTCCGCGAGAAAACGTTCTCTGGAGCCTCCTTGGCCTTGATCAAGCGGGTCTTCAGGGTCTGGACGAAAGGCATAGCCTTCTTCATCTCACCCAGCTTGCCAACCTTGGCGTTCAGCTCCTTGTCGTCAATAGAGAGGCTGACAGCATCGAATGCTTCTCGGACAAGGTCGATGTACTTCTCCTGCCAGGCAGGGTACTTCTTCGCGGCGTAGATGGTAAGCTTCTTGGGCTTGCGAGGATCGAAAAACATCGTCTTGCCCTTGGAAAGCTTCTTAACGAATCCAGCCTCAGCCGACGTGATGCTAGAAGAGGTGGAACGAACATAGTTCAGGGCAGCCGAAAGCTCAACGGAGGGCTCGGGAACCTCCGGGAAGCGAGCATAATGGATTGTCTCAGGCTAAGAGGTACAAAATTAGTCAAGCTACCTTAAAGAGTCATTTGATACGCAGAGGTACAAACCTTGTTCAGAACCTCGAGCCAGATGTATTCAGCCCAATGAGGCGCAATGGGAGAGATCATCAGAGCCTGAAGTTCAACATAGCGCAGGACCACGTCACGGTGCATTCCGACACCAGCCGAAACTGCGGCCTCACGGTAGACGTCACGAGCGTTGGTCAGGTCAAAGAGAGCGGATTTCAGGGCGAGCTTGAAATCGGTACTGAGATGGGGTCAGCCATTGGAAGTACACATGTAGGATCATCAGAAACTCACTTTTTGTAGTGCCTGATGGCTTCGCGAACCAGACTGTTCATCTCATTATCGAACAGCTTGTCCCAGAAGGAGTATTCCGAATCTGTGCGCAGGGAGCTGTCCTTGACAGTCTCCTCAATCCACTCCTTGAGCGTGAAGAGCCTGAGAATATTGCTGTTAGCGACATTCTCGTCGAAGTTGGCGTCTTCGATTCCGTCACCAGCATCGGCGAACGCAATACGAGAGGCGTCAGCACCGAACTTCTCGACAGCATCTTTAAGTGTAAGGAAGTTGCCCGTGCTCTTGCTCATCTTGTCTCCGTTCAGGAGCAAGTGTCCGTTTGCACGGACACCGCGGGGCCAGAATTCCCGTGGGAAGAGCGCGATGTGAATGTAAAGGAAGAAAGTCAGATGGTTTTGAATGAGGTCCTTGCCGGAGACGTTCACATCCAGAGGGTACCAGTACTCGAACTCTCTACGCATCTTCAGCAGTGCATCCTTGCTGATACCGCTCTTTGAGATGAGCTCGTCGCTAAGCTCACGTCGCGCGAAGATATAGTCCCAGACCTCATCAGTCATCTGCTCCGGCTTGATGTTCAGCGGACCGGGCGTGTTACCATAGCGGTCGCCATGCAGGTAGTGAGCAACGGTATAGTAGGCCATGTAGACGGTACTGTCACTCAGACTCTCAACGAGGAACTTAGGGTCCCATGGGAGCTTGGATCCCAGACCATAGGTTCTCGCACAGGCCCATCGATTCAGCCACGTTAGGTTCTTCTCGAAACCGTGCTTGGTCTCGGGCAGGTACGTGTTGAGGTCGTTGGCGACATATTTCAAGGTTTCTTGCTGCCACTCGGCGTCATTCTCTCCGTAGTTCAAGAACCACTGACCAAGGTAGGCAACGACACAGTCATCTCCACTTCTGCTAACAACCTTACCCATAGGATCAGCAAAGGGGAAGGCGTCGCCGCTCTCGTAAAGGGACTTGCGGATCTTCTCTTTGGCGGCGCTCACTGGCTCGCCCTTGAACTCACCAACCAACATAGTACCCTTGTAGTAGGCTTCGCCGTACGCCAGCTCCTTGGCCTGTGCAAGTTGGTTGACATCCTTGGGAGAGTTGATCTTGAGCTTCTTGACAAGCGCAGGGGCGGTGAGGTTACCGTATGTCGGGGTCTCGATGAGAGGGAAGATCTCCAGCTCGGCCCATTCCTTCTTGATGCCATAGTATTCGGGTTTCTTGGCAAGATCGATCAAAGTAGCGTAGTCGTCGGGACTGTCCGAGGGGACTGATGTAACGACACCGGTACCCTTGGTGGCAGAGACACCCTCCATAGGCAGAATACGCACACCCTCGGTGTGGAACGACAGTGGGGCGTTAACAAGGGTGCCCACAAAGGCGGAACCAGGCGCTTCTAGGACGAGTGGCAGCTCGTCCTGCGTCTTGGGGAAGTGTTCGTTGTCGAAGAAAATCCCCTGGAAGGCCATGTTCCAGGCCGCTCTCTTGGTCACGACGTAGTATTCCTTCTCCTTGACCTTGAAAATTCCGTACTTAATCTTGGGACCAAGGAAGCAGCAAGTCTGTCCGTACATTGTCTCTGGACGCAGAGTGGCTGGCACGAAGTAAACCTTGGCATCATTCTCGATCTTTCCCTTGACCAGCTCAGCAATTTCTGGGGCCCACTCCTTCACCTGCAACTTCATCGCGGTGTATTCCTGCGGGCCAATTCCCTCACCTTCCGTGCGGTCATGGTCCATGCAAGGCTGGCCATCCTTCGGTGAATAGATAGTATAGCGGTTGCCGTACAGGATCTTGCCGAAATCATGGAGGCGGTTCATCTGCCAGCGCACGAAAGAGTCGTAGTAAGGATTGGCGTCGGTCGTGACGAACTCTCTGCGCCAATCCATTCTAGCACCGAGGCTGTCGAGGTCGCGAATGGCAAGGGGTGGGAAGTGGTGAAGCCAATGGTTAGCATCGGCGAACTTGTGGATTTCCTCAAGAGGCAAGCCGATGGCCAACATGATCTGGAACTGATACTTCATCTTTACGGTCTTCGCAGCGGCCTTGCTCTTCTTTCCGGAGAACTTCTCTTGCTCAGCCTTGACTTCCTGCGTAGGGGCTGCAACTGCCGTGGGGTCCTGCTCCTCGCTCTCTTCACTGTAGCGTTCGAAGTTCTTGCCGAACTTCTGGACTTCGTCGGCAAGCTTGTCTGCGCAGGCCTTGATAGGCATACCCGTGCAGTGGAAACCGAGAGGGAAAAGAGCCCTCTTACCCTCCATGCGGGCAACGCCGGTCATGAATTCGATTTTACTGGCCGTGAAACTGTGACCAGCGTGCAGAGTACCGTTCATGTAAGGATATGCCATGGTTCCGAAGAACTTTGGGTACTTCTCCCGAAGCTCTGCGGAAGACATGGTGCTGGCAGGAACCTCCGATAGCGACGGGGCATCGACCTCGAACACCTTCTTCTCTTTCCATTGTGCTTGGTATTTCTTCTCGATGGCGATAAGAGTGTCTCTCTTCTCGGTCTAGATCAACAAGAAGCAATTAGCAGTAAATCCACCCGAAACGCTCAATGAGGGGGAGGGGTAACAGGTTGTACGAACATTTTCGAGCTTAAGAGTATTCTTGGTGCTGTTGCCCGGGTCGAGCGCAGCAGCGGATGCAGCAGCGGCTGCCATGGCTCTCAATAGTGAAGTCTGCCGTGATGCAAACAGAAAATGGGAGAGCCCTGAGGCGTGGTTGTGGAGGTCAATTACTATATATCCACCGCGGGGTTTGGCTCTATCGAACGAAATTCTTGCCGGCCATTTGTGAGTCAAAACGGCGTATGTAACGGCGGTGACAGTAGTTGTATTTATCGCGCACGTGCCATCTATCTGCTTTTGGTGGAGTTTGAAGGTCAGAACACCAGCTCAAATTGATGCTGGCTGTAGTCAACAGGTAACAGCGATATAGTGGTATGAATCAAATGAATGTTCCTGTGCAGCCTAGTCGAAAAAACGTAATGCAATTTACGTATATGCTTGGAAAAGCCTAGCGTTTCTGCGTTGACTCACTGGCATAACTTCCCCATGAACGAGGCCGAGTCCAAAGCAGAGACGCCTCGAGGATACCAAGCAGCAAGCAAGAATTGGTATGTGTCAATTGAGATCTATAAATGGGAAACTTCTACTAAGTGCGAGTTTGTTGACATTGACCCCCCATTCTTAACAAGACAGCATGGAGTAAAACACCGTAGGCTATCTATAAAAGTCACGTGAGTATATATTGGATCGTTTTCTTTCCGCCGTGTTTCCAGAAAGTCAAGTTTAAGCTTCGAGCCAGAACTCCCTTTAGTCCCCGCTGGTACGGAGTAGTAGTTGAGAGTCGATTGTTGTTCTATCATTGATCTTGTCAATCTCTCCATTTCATCCCACCTGTCACAAGGACCTGGTCCTTGTGCGCTCCCACAACTCTCAAGATGGTGAACCTGTTCAAGCGGATGCGGAAGCTGAAGACTGTACGTTCCCCGGCCACCTCAATCTGTCTGCTCATTGAACCGTTTTGCTGACCTAGAATTTCTAGAGGGTATGATCCGCCGGATTCCCTTAAAACACCCATTCTACTGTCCTTCCTATCGCGAGCTGGTTTCAATTCTAGCCTCAGCCGCCTTTCCTTCAATATAACAAACCCACCTTCAGTGAACCCGATATACCATTCGCTAACTCAATTCTATTGTACAGATCCTCAACGTCCGCGTCGGAACAGGTGCTGCAATCCTTCCAGCTGCCTCAAAAGCAACCGCAGAATTCCCAGCCATCACCCGACTGCACCTCACATACGCCCGCAAGATCTACGGCGGCCACCAAGGCGCACGACATTTCTGGCGCAATTGCCTGCCTCGACTCAAGTACTATAACCCTGGTGTCCGAATGACCGTCAAACAAACCGATGAGCAGGAAGGACCCGCCGCGTTAACGATATACTTCGCCGAGCAAGCCAGCAAAGCAGCGGCGCTGAGCGCCTCCAAGGTTGAAGACAAGTACGCCCCTCCGCCGTCAGAGACAGAGAAGACGGCCGTCGTTGACCTCAAGAACCTCGATTACAAGGAGATCTGGAATAAGGTCAAGATGATGACGGGGGCGGAGGAGCTGCAGGCGACTTCCGAGGAGGAGGCAGAACTGAAGAAGCTGGAGCAGATGCGTCAGCAGTCGGATAAGGACCGCGCGCGGGTGACTGCTATCCGGCAGGCGAAGAAGGACCAAGAGCGGATGTTACAGGAGGCGAGAGGCGAGGTCGAGAGACTGAGGCAGTCGTAAGATGTCGTTCTTTGGGGTTTTGTTTTTGGAGAATGTCTTCTTCGCATTCTGAGGTCTCTGGGTACATAGCTCTGTTTGTGAGATGGGTTCTGACTGTGGGAAAACGACATCGGCATGATCAATTGTAACATAGCCTTTCTTTTATTTCTGATCGTGTAGTTTTGGGAAAACTCTTTTTACAAAATTGTCTTGAGAAGTGCTTGGAAATGTTCGAATACGCGGATATGAGAGTTTTCGCGACTCTGACTCGTAAGTTACTTCGGTTGCATATCCACTTTACGCCATATACATCATAGCAGATTCCATCATAGCAAGTGACAACATAAACAGAACATAGTACGGGAGGTCCGGGCAGCTTTGAAGAAAGCGTTTTAGTCCCTCCCGTGAAAATCCGGTTCCACTACATAGGGGAAAATTGCAGAAACCAGCGTTTGTGACGGTGTAGACGGTTGAGAGTAGTAAAAGCTCATCTGTTCCCATTTTGAGTTATCAGTATCTCATAAGAGATTGGTATCTCCAGAGTGGTCACGAGAAACGACGAATGTAGGGTTCATGCATGATCAGGCGTGTAGCTCGTTTCCCCTAGCATACGCTGGCCCGTTGAGACAGTCGGTGTCGCTGGGTGAGCGTGGCTGGGTCCGGCCTGATTCAATGTAGTCGACTGGGATTGAGCTCTTCCTGCGGCGGCAGCTTGGAGTCTCTGGTCCAAAGCTTTGAGTGCCAGCGCCCGTCTTCGTTCAGCCTCTTCACGTTTTCCCAAACCACGCATTCCTCCGCCTCTTTGGTTGCTGAGTAGGCTGGGTAGACCCGCCTCACCTCTCGCGAGGACTTGCTGGTTCCCGGATGCAATCTCTTCCTCCGAGAATGGCGTGCAAATTTTGAGCGCCACGAGGAGCGTATAGATCTGATCAGAAACAAATGCAATTGGCGGCTGCATAACGTCCGGAAAGAGGCAAGCGAATGCGAACGTCTCGCTTGCATCACCCTTGATTCCTTGTCCGTCTGTCGACGTGCCCGTGAGGTCTGGCTGCCGCTTGTAGAATCGCAGGTAGGACCAGCTGGCCAGCAGGCCTAGCCATGCGAGGAGCGCTGCGACTTGCGTTCCGAAAACCAACCCGCTAACTGTATTGAGTAACAGAAACAGGGCGGGGAAATGTTTCACGCGCATCTTGACCAGTCCTTTGAAGATCGTGACTGTATGCTCGGGAACGAGTTGTTTGAAGGCGACGAGGAAGGACGACTGAATCGATATGCCACCACATATTTGCGTTAGGCTTAGAGAGGGGAGTCAGCAGATAGAGCGCAAGAGGTTATGCAGTCGTGCTGGGAGAAGATCTCATACCCGCTCACTGAGCTCGCCCCTATGGCGGCGCATAGTAGGTATACCAGGGCTACCACCACGTTGGGAATGACTGCGATAATGACGATAAATTTCGCGAACTCTCTGGAACCCCAAGCGCGCTCCAGGTATTTCCCACCATAGAACAGAGTAGCCGCGTTAAGGAGTACTGTAAAGATATTCTGCTCCACGAACGTGGCCGTAAGTAGGGTCCATGGGTAAAAGAAGAATTGCGATGGCACGAGGGTCAAATAGGGAACGATAGGTGTCGCTGTAGGTGCTTTCCCCGTAGTGTCAATTTGTCGCCATCGGGCGATGTTGTACAGCAAGGAGAGAGTGACGAGGCTGATGAGACAAGTACGGGTCGCAGGAGGAATGTTGATTCGGTACGGCATCTTGTCGAGGAGAGCACTCACGGCTGCTCATTTAGAGCGCAGACCGCAGGCTGTTGACGAGAGCCCACGGAATCTAGAGATGTAGGAGATGTCGTACCGTAGGCAGGACTTTACGAGAAAGGCGGTCGACCGGACAAGTGCACGTCCGACAGGGAGGTTGAGCGCCGTTTGGACTTTGGGACCGCGTTTAATGATTGGATGAGTAGATCTAGCTGGAGTAAATCTGACTCCTATCTCTGAGAATTGGCGAACAGTTGGGTTCAATAACAATAATTATGAAGTCTGGAATAAATGATCTATGACGAGGTGGATAGGAAATAGATGCACCTGGTCTGCAAGGTGGTCATAATCGTCGTACCCGCACAATGAGTGATACAAACCGACGCAGGTATTTGGCTTATGTCAAGTTGCATGTAGCAAAAGTGTCTCGAACACCGTAGCTTAAATGAACTGCTGATAGCCTTAATTATTCAGTCTTTGTCAAGTCTTCCATCAACTCCGAGGCAGCAAGATGGATGCTGTCCACCTGCAGTACCCAGATTTACCGGTCGGTACATGATATCTTTGGCGATTACGAGTAGAGATTTATTGGGAACAAAAACTCATTGTCGTCTACTTCTTGTCGAATGGACCAGCCCATCGGTACCGTTCGCAGCTAGCCGCGTTTCCTCAGGATGAGTCCTATTGACGTGATGCTTTTCCTTGGTGCCTTGGGAAACTGTAAGCATGTCCCGCACCTTGGCTGTGTCAGGACTGACTTAGACGGCTGGCTGCGCTTTACGATCTGTTGAGCATTTTCATCAAGTGGAGGTCCAGAGGAAGTTTCTTCAGAGCTTCAACAGGAGCACCGAAATGAGCAAATTTGGAAGGGCACTCTACAGGAAATGGTTCATTCTCAGTACCTTATATATATACGACTTGTAATACTCCGTAGTATATATCTACACAATATCCACCACAAGCAGCAACATCGAGGGAATACATTGCGGGCAGCGAAATCACAAAGATAGCCGTATAGATGAAGAAAAGGTTTAGGCTGGAAGCGCTGACCCTAGACCCCAATGGACAAACCAACGAACCAGAAAAACAAAATATTAAAAAAAGGCGCCCTAGACGATCATTTGGCCGTCAGAAGTTTACCTAGTTACCTTAGCTAGATAAATACCCAAAAGCGTAAAGTCCCAAGGGGCCGGTGGGTTTTCTGACTGCACGGCACGCGCTAGTCTAATCCTAGCCTCAGCCAGATGGTGGAATTGTGGGCTAAACGCCACAACGAGAGACAAGCCCATCATGTCTCCATGCCTTTTGGATTCTTGACTTTTGACTTCGAATTTTGGACATCTTGTCGTTGACTGGACGCGGTTAGCCTAACCCAGTGACCTTACCACTGGAGTCTGGCTCGAAGCTGAAACTTTAAGCAGCAAGTCCCCAGACTTAGAGCCGCCTTGGTAGGCAAAAATACCTACCCAATCTTCCTTTTCCTCTTCTTTCTTCTTCACAAAGACGTTTACCCTTTTGCAGTTTGCAATCTTTGTCTTACTGGACAGTCAGCAACAATCAGGAATCTGGATCCAACTTCTTTCTTGACAAGAGTTCCTCCACAGTGTGCAATCCCGACTTTTTGCAGTTCACTACTAGCGGGCCTGCAATCCTTGAGCCACCCATCTCTCAATTCTGTTCCGGCTCATGACCTCCGCTATTATTCATTATTATTTTCATTAATCCTTATTACTTCCTACTGTTCTGCAACGGAAGAAATAATCTTTCTTAAAAGTTACGCAAGCACAGGACTAGTTTCACTTACCTACACCTCTGCTCTTTGCCAACACTCGCATTAGCTTGTCTAGGTACAGGCTTGAGGAGGAACATCTGGTACCTATTACCTATTATTGGTTCCTTACATCTTCATTCACGAGCCCCTTCCTCATCACTTCCATTGGCGTTGTTCCTGAAACTCGGTCTTATTTTCCTTCGTCTTCTTCCTTATCATTATTTCTCCCTTGTCACAGTCTTGGCTGCATCTGTCCCAATCGAGCCTCCCCTCTTTGAACCCCAAAAAAAGGACTCCGCGTCTCCCACCTTAAGTTTGCAGGGTAGGAAAATCGGCGAAAGGAACCTAAGGAACCTTCTTTTTGTTTTACTGGCCCACCCTGTCAATCCTTCGGATCTTGAATCTCGCAAGCCCATTGTACCGCGCCATCTTTTGATCCTCTCCTTCTTCTCCAGTTGAGGACCTTTATATTCTGGATATTGTCAAATCCTGGCATGCGAGCGGATTCTGAATCTAGTTGCTTCGCATGTAACAATGGAACATCCCGACCTCACATCACATCACGTTAATTACTTAATATGGAGGTATGTGCTGATCACCCTTGCCGACCTTTGATGCCCATTCTCAACGGCCACACAGTCCTACCATGATGGTAGACTTCTCACATTGCCAGGACACTAACACCTATTAGGTATCTTCAAGAATCAGGTTGGTCTTCACAGCTTTTAGACTTCGCTCTCTCGCCATAAAATCAGATATCTCGCAAAAGGCGAATCCATAATTAAAAGTCTTGATCTAACTTCGTATCCAGGCCATGGTGAAGCTGCAGTGACGCTGCAGCGCGCATGGAACCATGATCCGCAGAGCTTACCGTTTGCTCCCTACATTCGAACGCACGCACTGGTATCTCTGGTTCAAAAGGGACTCCAATATTACGAACTCGAGCAGTCCATTGACAAGGCATGTTTCTGCTGTTGAAAACATCCCGCCCCTTTTTTACAATTTTTTTTGGTCTTCCTCAAACATTTATTGTCGAAGATCTCTAATCTTTGCTTACAGGATGGCAATCCAACACCATTCACACCTTCAAAATATTTCTTCGGACCGGTGTCGCTAGAGCTAGAAACGCAAAAAGGCCAAGCTGGTCCAGAAGAGGCGGGTACCGGCACCGACCAAGCGCCTGACTCGTCTACAAGCAAAGCCGCGCGAGAAGGCGGCGTGAGTAATGGTCACCCGACGGCCGAGGCTGGTGGCCCCCAACTACCGCCCGCTACCGTCAAAAAAGCTGGGAAAAGCGATCGCGGAGAAGTCAACGGTGATGGAGTCCCTATGGACGTAGACACTAATGGCGTGGAAACAGAAAAAAAACTGACTGTTGCCGCGTCGCCATCGCCTGCCGAAACGAACGTGGATGGCGATGGTGACGTGAACATGGATGTACGACCACACCTGCAGGAGCAGGAAGCAGCCGCGGCGCCAACCTTCACGCTGACAACGGGCCACAGCGTGGGTGTCCAGATCAGTCCCGCCAAGGCTGCTGACCTCAGCCCGAACACCACCATCCTGAATGTGGCTGGAAACGATCACGTGACGCGCACCTTGTGGCGGCCCAATGATCCCACCACTGTCCTTGCAGCTGGAGATACGTTCTGCAGTTTGTGGAGGTTACAATCTACCTCCTCCGGTCCGGTGCAGGAGAAGTTGGTCGAAAGCAGAGGGGACGGCAATTGCGTCTCGGCCGTTGCGTGGCATCCCAAGGGCCACAAGTTTGCTGTAGCCACCTACAACGACATGAGAGGCTCCATTACCATGTACGATGTGGCTGGAAACGCTGTTGACCTCCTTCCAGAAGTACCACGCATGATCACTGGACTTCACTGGGCCGACAATAGCTCCCATTTGATTGTAGTAGCATCGGATAGCAAGATTTCCGAGCTGGCAATCTGGGATGACTCATTGCGACCAGATGAGTTTCCTTCTCCTCAAGTGGTGGATGGTTCGATTTATGACCTTAGCTGGCTCGGGCACAAACAGGCCTATGCCAGCGGTCACGGTGTAGTCTACCAGTGCGATGTGGACTCCAGCATTCGTATCGCCAAGACTTTCTCATGGGGCGAATCAGACAGAGTTTGGTCCTTCGTTCGCTGTGCCAACGCCGGCTCCTCCCCTGTGGCAGTGGCTGCATCCTCTGATACTGCTGCATTTTGGGTGCCAACGCATGATATGTATCTCGACGACGCGCACCAAGGAGATATCACGTCCATTGAGATGCGTCCTCATCCCGAGTCATCTGAAAAGACCCAGCTTGGTCCTTCTGTCGTTCTTGCCTCCGCATCCACCGACGATACAGTCAAGATCTGGCAAATTGACCTGGAAGCAAAACGTTTTATCTGTCTTCATCGCCTGGTCCTCGGTCAGTCAATGCCAGGTCTGGCCGCCTGTTTCTCACCTGACGGTTACGCCGTCGCTGCTGCCAGCCGCGACAGATTGTTTATCTGGAATGCAGAGAGAGGGGGTACCGCGATGGCTACTTGGGTCGTACCCGGCTCCGATAAAGCAAAGTCAGAAGGAGAAGCAGATCATGCGGCCAATGAACAAAACGGAGCCGTGGAGTCGCTGCCAGATCGCTCCCTTTCATGGGATACCGATGGTAAGAAGCTTGCATTCGGTTTCGCAAAACAGGTATGTCTCTAATTTCTTGTCAATTACTTAACCATATACTGAAAATGTCAAAACAGTTGGCAGTAATCAATCTACAACGTTGAATTGGACGTCATTTGTCAACGGGCGAAGAGACTCCGTGGCTCGACGCACCGCAAGACTTTTGTCAATCCGAACAAACAGCTCATGTAGCATATCCTGTGTCCAATGGTGACGACTGCAGGTTGATGAGCTTGCTACCACATCCGGCAATCAGTGAGGATAGGTGGTCTCCCACTGGGTACTCCCGCTTTGTTTACGACCCTTCTGAAAGTCTACAACTACGCAGTCCGGTGCATAACCGCGTCTGGCTACCATCATTTCAAGCTTGACCGCTGGCGACAATTTACGAGTATCTACTTCACCCTTCGTGAATCATCTACTTTTACACTTATACCCTGATAGCATGAACTATATGGTGCATGGTGGCTCAGCGTTTTCCTTCGGATTATGTGGCAATATTAAGGTGATTGGCACACTGGGCGCGACTTATTCTTTTCCTCTTCCAACCCAGGTAAATTTGTCTTCGCGAATTCCGATCTCAGAGGGTTCCAGAGGTGCCGTGCTCTTGAATGTCTTCGAGCTGCTGTCTTTGTCTACCTTCCATTTTCAGCCTGCGCTCTCTTTCTCGTATGCGATATGCTTCTTCGACATCTCTCCATCCACGGGTCCAAGCGCGTATACCCTCAAGAAGCGCCCCGATGGTTTCCTCGTTGCATTTTTCCATCTTACGTCGTGGCCATTGCCTTCGCCCAGATTTATGCGACCTGGATGCGGTTACCTGGGCATGCTGTTCCTGCCAAGACTCAACCCAGCCGACCAACCCATTAACTGTACCTTGAAGCCCTTCACGCTCCGCCGTCTCTTCCCAGAGTTCCTTCTGCCTACAAGGGAAATCAGATTGGTCAATTTGGGGCGTACGATAAAAAGTTCGGTAAAGATACCGCTCACAATTCATGCACGTCGTGTTCCAGTACAGATATGCTCCGTGTCATTCTTCGAATTTCCCGGTTACAAAGACCATAAATTTGCAGCGACTCTTTTCTGCGTTTCTTGAACTCTTCACTGAGTTCGGTGGTTTCATTGAGGACGCTTGTCAGCTCCTTGATATATGCCTTTTTGGTGCTGGAGATTCCAACGTCGTTATTATCGTGACGAGTGCTTGGAACGCCAGGAGTAACGACTTTCGCGCATTCCGTGCAGACACTTTTGGGACGGCATTGGGCAATTTCTTGGGTCAGTCCTGGGCGTGGATCGAAAATGGATTCAATGCTGTCAAGGCAGCTGCTCAGAATAATATTTTGTTCTTCTGACAAGCGCGCATTTTTCGATAAGAAAGCCAATCTTACCAGGCGGTCTGAAACGGGCGTCATTCCCTCCGCAGGGAACTCTTCCGCAAGCTTGGGACTAAGGGTGTGATTCACTGTCAAATACTTATCACACTCGTGGGTATCGGGAATCGTGTGTGATGTCTCCATGGCATTATGATTCGCTGTTCGTATGCATGTACTTTGTTGTCTAGACGTACATAGGGGAATACGTATTTGCCGTTTGTCCAATCCAATTGCTAGATCTCTCGTACGAAACGCAAGGGGAATACAAGGACATTGAAAGCTGATCGAAACCGTGAATCAAGCTCGCTGACCTTGACAGAAAGGTCCTTCCGACACTTGAGATGCTATGCGGTGCAAAGGCAGAGTGACTCGACTAGTATCGACAAAAATCGAACTTGGATAAATTCAGTTGTAGCTTGAGCATCATCAGAGACAAAAGGAGTTCGCAGTAAGGGGGAGGGAATAAGAAATATGGCGGATCATGTGAAGTGCAGTGAGAAAATAGACGGTCAGTATCTGAATCGTCAGTAGTCCCAGTTACCTAAGGTACCTTTACCTACTATCTATTAGTTCTATTACCATGCAAAAACACATGGCTCCATAATTCTAGGTATACTATCAGAGCGGTGCATCAACGCTAGACCACTCTGGTCCACCAATCACACATTGATCTATTGACCAGTTCTCGAGGCTGCTGACAAGTCGTATTTGAGCAAGGATAGGCCTATTTATTCTTTTCAAAGGTCTCAATTCCTCTTTTCTTACCTCTCTGACCCTCTGATAATCTGTGTCAGCGGTCGAAAAGTGCTGTCGCTGGCAAAATACTTTGTGCTACTCATCATACTCATCCACCGTCATAACCACCACCACCACCACCACTATCGGCGGAACAGTGATTAACTCCGTGGGCATTATTTTCCCCATCACCCGGCACTTTCAAATCCCCGCAGAGAGCCTTTTCCCTTCGGCACGCAAACCCATCAGAATTATCACCGAGAGGATGGCGCCCTCTGTGAGTATATACTGTTCAGACTAGTTTTCTTGAACTATGTTTTCTATTCTGCTTATTTGCGATCCCGGTCGGTGCCAATTGCTGACCACTGTCCGATGACTCAGACTACCATTGTGCCGTCCCTTGAGACAGCCAGAGATGTGATCAACAACTCGAGAACAGCAAAATACCCTCCAAATCTGCTGCCGTTGACGGCTAGTATACCAGCCGATCTGTTGACGCCCACATTGGCTTACCTGAAGCTTGCTGAAAAGTGAGTCGTGGATTGTCTGGGCCTTTTGGTGTAACGGACAACGCTGACTAGGTGGTTCGATCGATGAGTAGATCGAAATTATCATTTCTCTATGAGAGTGCTGCTACTACGGAGACAATTGGAAGATACAGTTTCGTTGGCGCAGGTACGGTGTTATTTCCCCGAGTCACTCTAAGAGTTCGGGCTGTTTTGCTGACTGTGTCTTCCTTCACAGAACCGTACAAAGTTCTCAAGACTGGGCCAGGTCATGGCCCCGAGTGCGATCCTCTCCCCATCCTTGAAAAAGAGCTCTCGCAGTTTCGTGTTGCGACAGTCCCCGGGTTGATACTTCCACCGCTCACCGGAGGAGCCATCGGATATGTGGGTTATGACTGTGTTCGATACTTTGAGCCCAAGACGGCTCGGCCAGTCAAGGACGTGCTGGGGATTCCCGAGTCGCTTTTTATGATGTTCAAGACCATTGTCGCCTTTGACCATTTCTTCCAGGTCATCAAGGTCGTAACATACATTCCTATTCCGAGCACCGATTCGGAACTTGAAGCGGAATACCGTAAAGGCCAAGAGGCGCTCCAGCAGACCATCGACTTGTTGCTGCGGCCAGAATGTCCCCTTCCCCCTCAGGGACCGATTATTCCGAACCAAGAATACACATCCAACATAGGTAGGGAAGGGTACGAGCGGCATGTGACCAGACTGAAGGAACATATCTCCAAGGGAGACATCTTCCAGACAGTGCCGTCGCAGCGCCTGTCACGTCCCACTTCTTTGCATCCCTTCAACCTCTTCCGTCATTTGCGCACCGTCAATCCATCCCCTTATCTTTTCTATATCGACTGCGAGAAATTCCAACTTGTCGGAGCGAGTCCGGAGCTCCTCGTAAAGGAGGAGAAAGGCAGGATCATCACGCACCCCATTGCGGGAACGGTAAAGCGCGGCAAGTCTGCCGAGGAGGACGATGCTCTGGCCGCCGAGTTGAGGGGCAGTCTGAAGGACCGAGCCGAGCACGTCATGCTGGTTGATTTGGCGCGCAACGATGTCAACCGGGTCTGTGATCCTACGACAACTCAGGTCGACCGGTTGATGGTGGTGGAGAAATTCTCGCATGTTCAGCATCTTGTGTCGCAAGTGTCGGGGATTCTACGGCCGGACAAGACGCGCTTCGATGCGTTCCGATCCATCTTCCCTGCGGGAACTGTGTCCGGTGCCCCCAAGGTTCGAGCTATGCAGTTGATCGCTGAGCTTGAGGGCGAAAAGCGCGGAGTCTACGCGGGCGCGGTGGGCTACTTCGGATTCGATAGCTCGAGTGCTGACGGGATGAATCTGGTGCCTGGTGCAATGGACACATGCATCGCGCTCCGGACGATGCTTGTCAAGGATGGAGTTGCCTATTTGCAAGCCGGCGGTGGCATTGTCTTTGACTCGGATCCGTATGACGAGTACGTCGAGACACTGAACAAGCTGGGTGCCAACATTCAGTGCATCAAGGGTGCCGAGGACAAATATTTGAGCATGGAGCAGTCGTAGGGAGAGAGATGTCTTGAGGTATTCGAAAGCGAGATGACTAGACGGGGTATGATAAATTGATAGACACAAATGATCACGATTTCAGGCATGTAATGCATAACTCCGACTTGTTTGTTCTTTAACCTCTGATATCTCTTCACTTCCTGTTCGAGATCGTCCTAAATATGTAAACAGATCTACCATGGATATATGCCAAGGTTTCCAGCATCATACGTTTCAGGAAGTGTTCCAGAATCCAAGAACTTAGCCGACTCGGCCTACGATGACGTAGATGGAGATCCTCGGGTGTCTTCGCTTTCATCTCACAATCATGGACGATGAGAAGCACCGCCACAAAGTAGATATAGTGAACAAAACTGTTCCATCTAGATTCCTTTGAACCAAGGGAGAATTACTGCATCGGCTATGGCCCGTGGTTCTTCATTGACTGATGGTTGATGCCAAGTCCAAGGCGTACGCGGCCAGTTTGCCACGAGAAGTATAGCAGTCCCAGAATCTTTGTCTTCGGAGTCTGCGGTGTGGCTGGGTAACAGAGGATTGGTATTCATGCTGGAATGATGAATTGGGACTTAGAAACAGCTGAGCCGAGCCCAGGATAGAAAGTTGTGGTCTGGTGATTTTGGATATATGTAGCGAGAGGATGATATTGACCAGCCACTACTCCTTGTATATGACCATACAGGATTCACCAATAATGATAGTTATGAACCCAGAGAGGGTCAAGTAGATATGGAAATAGTAAACCATAAGGTCAATCTCATCTCTCTATTGAGCTAGCAATTATATTAATTAATCTGTCCGGCCACTGCCCGGTCTTACTCCGCACCTCCGTGCTGCTGCCTTCACTAATATATGTGCAGCACTTGACCTCCTCTATTCAGTAGTCTTTGCTTCTTTGAATTCTTCACTTTTCCTCTCAAATTTGCTGCAGGGTTTGAGCTCGTTAATAAATCAATTGCCTCCTTTCTGGTTCTCCTATTGTTGTTGGTGTGCAATTGATAGTACTTGCATGGAGTGAACCCGAAGCCTCACAAGGTAATCAGCCAACCCTTTGTTTGACGCAAGAATGATTATTCATTGACATTGTTCAGACCTCCAGAGTGGAAGTACCCAAATCCTCTTATTGACAACATTCTCGAAAAAGTTCTTTATCTTGCCGTGCACAGAAAGAGTGCTCTTATTGAGGCCACTGCCACCCGCCGCCCAATTCGTCATCAGAATCTTGTCGGAACCAAAGGCCCAAACTTGCTGACCCGCCCGGCTCCCCTCTCTCTCTCCTCTTCCCTCTTCCTCCACGTTCATCTTTCTGCTTCGTCCGGAGGCGCTGGAGGTCAAATAATAGATTCACCAGACAAACTTCCTCTACCATCCGATCGCTTCCTGCTTCCTTGACCCTTTGCCCTCATTTCCAGCGCCGACACTCCCCCTCGCCAGAATACTTGCGGCGCATTCATTATTGACTGGAATCCCGCACGCGGCTTACATACACCACCGCCTTGTCCTGCTTGGGCCGTGCGATAAGGACTAAGGAGAAGACGACGACCACGCCATCTATCTCTACGAGCTATCCAAGAACAACTACCTGGTCTCACTCCAAGACACTCCAATATTGTCTTATTTTCCATCATCATACGACGTCAAATCGATCCCATCCGCCGACCAACAGAAAGGCGAACAATTCGCGATCCGGCGCCCTCGTTTCCCCGCAAGAATCGGGACCGCGCTCGTGTTGAATTTCTGGAACCAAATTCACCCTCATACATAGTCACCATTTAAGATGTCGAAAGTTGTCCGCAGTGTGAAGAACGTAACGAAGGGTTACTCTTCAGTACAAGTCAAAGTTCGAAATGGTATGTCTTGGTTTTCTCCTTTTTCTCGCTTTTCCTATCTTCGCCTCTTCTCCTCCGTCGGATCTAGAGGGGTGACCATGAGGCTGCTATCGTTCCTTTTTTCATGACATGTCTGTGCTTTTGTATTTATGCTACTCGTACTGACCTGATTCAGCGACGAGCAATGACCCTTGGGGCCCGACGGGCACCGAAATGGCAGAAATTGCTGCCATGACCTTCAGCAGGTATGATTCCATTTCTTTCGGCATAACCCGGATCCAGGCTGACGGATACGACTAGTCCGACAGATTTCTACGAGATTATGGACATGCTCGATAAGCGACTGAACGACAAGGGCAAAAATTGGCGCCATGTTCTCAAGTCGTTGAAGGTATTAGATTATTGCCTTCATGAAGGATCCGAGCTGGTTGTTACGTGGGCCCGAAAGAATGTCTACATTATCAAGACGCTACGCGAGTTTCAATACGTGGATGAGGACGGGAGGGATGTTGGCCAGAACGGTACGTGGTACTGCGACGAGTGTTTGCGCGACCGGGTAACCCTTTGCTAACGATTGCTATCTCCTGTCTCATACAGTTCGTGTTGCGGCCAAGGAACTTACCACTCTCATTCTCGATGAGGACCGCTTGCGCAGTGAACGATCCGACCGTAAGCTTTGGAAATCACGGGTGAATGGACTGGACGAGTACCAGAGCCATGGGCCCGAGCCTTCGCGCCGATCTGACCGACGGGAGCGTCGCCGACCGGCCGATGAGGAAGACATAGAGTATCGCCTGGCTATCGAGGCGAGCAAGGCAGAAGCAGAGGAGGAGCGGAGACGACGGGAAAAGCAATCCATGATGGGAGAAGAAGATGAGGATCTGGCCAAAGCGATCAAGTTGAGCAAGGAAGAAGAGGAACTGCGGAAACGGGAGCTGGAAGAGAGCAATGCCCAATCGCTTTTTGACGATACTCCTGTGGCTCAACCGCAGCCCACCGGGTATAACCAGGGATACCAGCAGCAAGGCGCTGTCGACTGGTTTGGCAACCCCATTAACGCCCAACAGCCTCTGTCTACCGGTTACTTGAACAACCAATACGCACAGCCCACCGGATTTCAAAACCAGGTCACTGGAATGCCCAACGGATACGCCAATGGATTCCAAAATCAGCCAACTGCATTCGATCAGAACCCATACGGCCAGCTTCAGAACAACTTCTTGCAGCCACAGGCGGCCCTCCAGCCTCAACAAACGGCTTTTACCACGAACAATCCGTATGGCACCGACATATTCTCCCAGCAGCAGCAGCAGCAGCAGCAGCAGCAGCAGCAGTACCAGCAGTATCAGCAGCAACAGCAAGCACAAGAGAATGTCTCGCCGGCAGGTAGCAACAACCCATGGGCCCAGAGCGGTGGCCAGACAGCGAATGCCTTGCAACCCATGCCTACCGGGTCCAACAACCCGTTTGCTGCGCGCACTCAGTTCCAGACTCGGCCCCATACGTCGACGGGACCTCCATCCCTTAACACGCTCGCGGAAGAAAGAGCGACCAATCAGTTTACTTCCTCTCCTAACCCTATCGCCAATTTCCAGGCTCCAGCACCTCCCAAGAGCACACCGCCACAAACGAACAATCCTCACCACGCCCGTCTCAATGCTCTTCTAGCCACCGGCGAGGGGCAGGACACTTTCGGCAACGTCGGCGATCTACGTATCCCAGCCCAACATACTGCTCCAGGCACCTTCGTCAACTCTGCCGGTCAGGGTTTGGATCGTCTGCGAGCCACTCACACAGGCAACAACCCTTTCTATAACCAGCAGCAATTTGTCCCTCAGTCGACAGGCTTTGCTCAATCTTCGAACAACCCTTGGGCGACTCAGCGGCCGTACCAGCAGCAGTCTCAGGCCGGTGGCAGCCTGATCGACTTGTAAAGTGCGCACAGTTGATAACTGTCTATGTTTTCCATCAACTCTGGGTTTGAGGAAATGTTCGTTGATTGGGATACCACGATTGTTTTTCTCCCTCCATATTTAGCATCCTTCGCTGCTTACCGATCTTCTTTTCTTCGGCCGGGTTGTTGAATGTTTGATGGCATTGTGAATATACAAGAATGCCCCTTCTCATTCCCACTTGGTCGCGTCTTGCTCGTCGCTCGACGAGACCCACGACTTATTCTCTTGTCAACTCCCTGATTACTCGACCTGGCCCACCCTGTTTTCTATTGTCCGTCCCTGGCCTACCCTTTCCCTTTGTGATGTGCTTGTCTTTATCGCCATACCTACTACCGCTTACATACCTATTACTTCTTATTGTCAATGAGATGATATCTCCACTGAGATGACTTGCCCAGTTGGGTGGAAGATCGTTTTGTATCTACCTCTAGTAAGCATAAGTAGCATCCTTGTGGCGACAAGGTTGTGCCGCAGATCATCGCTAGATACCGATGGTTGAACATAGAAAGCTGCAGCTGCCAAAGCTCAATGTAACGACGAGCACTGAGACTCCGATCCCACCTTATCCATGCCCCTAACATCGAGATCACCAAGTTGAACCATGGACGCCAGGGATACTATAAAGTCATTTCAAAAAAGCGCCCGCTCCTCCGGTACCACCAATACCATGTATGTACCTATACACCAGGACCCCATTCAAACCGAACCAGCCGAACAACCATAACAAGACATGTAAACCACCCGAGGAAGACCACGCCGAAACAAGCTGTGCGGAAAACACCAAATACCGAGGAGCATGTACGATGGACTCCACCATGGAGGTGACGTGCAACCGGCCGATTGCTAGAGAAATCTGCCACGAAGACGTGCAAAAAGAACGTAAATGTTATGTCAGGCGCAGAAGGGAGAGAATCAGCCGCCCCGTTCGCCGAATTTCCTGGCCCACTCCTCGTATTCGCGTAGCCCGTCGCGACTGACGCTGGGTCTGATTGACTTGAGACTTGCTTCGAAGTCTTGGAAGCGGATGGGCCGGATTTGGTCCATGGGGGTGTGGAGGAGGGCCTCACCGAGGTTGCGGAGGGGACCCATGGCGGCGTCTTTGGCGAGGGCGGTGATGTCGGAGCCGGAGAAGCCTGTGATTTTTGGTTCATCTTGTGAGTATTTGGTAGACAAGGGAATGGGGTGGTGGATGATGATAATGGAATTACCCTCTGTGACATGGACGAGGACTTCAATGTCCTCGTCATCCAGTTCGTGCACCTGATGGCTCAGGAGCTTGCGGAGCTGTTGGTCGCGAACATGGTGCTCGGGCAGGGGGATGTACTGTCTGCGGACGAACCGCCGACGAGCCGCTTCGTCTATATCCCAAGGCACGTTGGTCGCTGCCAGGACGAGGACCCGACTGGGGTCTCCACCACCTCTCTTTGTTGATGGCTCACGGCCGGCTGCTGCTCGTTGAAGGTCCGACCACTGGATCAGAAACTCCGTCTTCGATCGTCGCGATGCTTCGTTTTCTGTTCCGGAGGAGCGCGACGAAAGGAGCGAGTCGATCTCGTCGACAAAGATGATGGACGGAGCCAATGCTTTCGCGAGCCCAAACAGTGCTCGAACGAGCTTCTCGCTCTCGCCGTGCCACTTGGATGTTAATGTTGATGCGGAGACAGAGAAGAAGGTCGACTTCGACTCCGTGGCTACTGCTCGAGCGAGCATCGTCTTACCTGTTCCCGGTGGGCCGAACAAGAGCATCCCTCGAGCGGGTTCCCGAAGCCCAGAGAAAAGATCCGGGCGAAGGAACGGGTAGACAACGGCTTCTTTGAGCGCTTTCTTGGCGGCGTCCAGTCCGGCAATATCATCCCAGTGGACCTCGTCACCTCGGACGACGATATCATTGAGGATCTGCCGGGCCGCATTTGGGTCAATGCCCTTGGGCAGTTTGTTCATGATATCCGTAATGGAACTGTCGTCGTCTTCATCTTCTTCCTCTAGTTCCTCGTCCGCGTCTATCGACTTCGGGCCTGTCGATTCTTGATCGCTTGAGGGCGGTGTAACTGTATGCGCAGGTTGTGGTTTGCGCCGAGTAGAACTATCTGATATCTCCAGTTGCCTCATGGAGGGACTCAAATCCTCAGGTTGGGTCCGGGAGACGGGCTTTCCTGTCGACGCGGAGTTGATCCGAGACCTCGATGTGGCCTTGCTTTGTGGGTTGTCCGAAATGCTCGTTGTGGTCTCGGGTCTCGTTTTTCTGATAGGGAATGAGGTTGGGCCAATATTGCTCGATTGCGGACCCTGAGGTGAAGCTCTGAGCGCAACAGGTTTGGGTCTCACGGAGGGCCTAGCACTACTCAGAGGGCTGTCAACAGGCTCCGACGATGGTTGGGCGAGGGTCCTGCTCCGACTGCCTGACGGCTGCCGGACCTCACCAGCCGGGGAGTGATGAATTGATGTTAGCGTTGGCACTGGGGTTGTGTTACTGATTGTCCGTCGCGCAGACCGGACAGGTCGAGGCTCCCGGCCATCTGAGTCGTCTGCCGCACTTTTCTTCGATACAAGCTCATCCCCGGAGTGGGACCTGAACTGACCAGAATCTTTCCGAAACCCAGAGTCACTGGAGATACTTTGCCGCGAGGACGTTATTGCGGCGTCACTTGCTAGATTCCCAGATGCTGAGGGGAGCCGGTAGATGTTCCCCCAGGCTAAACCCGCAGCCTGAGACGCAGCCGGCCGCAAATCCTTCCGCCGGAGAGTATCCTTGTTCTTGCTGTGCTTCTTGTGCCCGTCCGACTTGCGCAGAGTGGTAGGCATCGTCTTCCGTTTCTCGGGGCTCGAGTTGCGAGACTGGTTTTTGCCGGACGAATGCGATGGAACTCGTAACGCCGGTAAGCTAGTCGCAGACGCAACGCTGCTGTCTTGGATAACCGATTCTGAGCTCGCCTGCGTCACCGGTGCTGGACGTCCTGGGATCGGTGGCGGTCGAGATAAGTCCGTATAACCCACCGGAGGTACCGTCCCGTCTCCGATCCAACCGGGTGTGTTCGAAGTAGGTGACTTTGAGACCGACTTGCCTTTGAAGAATCGGTGTCCGACACCGCTCGTGGTGGGACTGTCCTTCTCCTGTGCTTCTTTCCTGCTTTCACGAAGAGCTTCCAAGAGATCAACTCGCTCTCGGCACTGGAGTTCTAGCTGGCGGATCGAATCTTGGAGCGCTTTTTCCGTTTCGTTCTTGGGTGTATAAGTCGACGATAGTCGGTAGGCGTTGTGATAAGAGATTGTGTCTAGAGCAGAGCGCCATGCTCTCAAAGCTTCATCTTCGTTGTTCTAGAATATCAGAGCAGATCAGTACTCAGACAAAAGAAAATATCAATTGACACCGAGCGAACATCCGAGATAGGAAGGGAGGGGGGCGACAGACCTGGCCCTCAAAGTATACAGCCGTGGAGCACGAGAGATAGCACTCATCGTATGTCTTCTGCAGCGAAGACGCAGCAGGCTTGGAGCGCATCATTCACGCCGGCGGAAATGCAGGACCCGCCCGCACCAGCCATGCGATCGACCACAATTGGAGTGCGGAGGCGAAATTGTAGGGTTGTCGGGAACCGAGGGGGGCGATGTCGGGATGTCCAGAGGCGGTACGGGTGGCGTGGTAGAGTAGGGATGAAGAATTGGATGGATAGATGGAAGGGGAAGATGGAATCGATGGCCAGTGAGTCTGGGGAGGAACAGACGAACAGGAGGGTTGCTGGAAGTTGATGGGATTGCTGATTGATTTTTCGTCTCGTTTCCATCAGAACGTTCCTCGCGTGACGTCGTTGGACCGCCGGATCGAGGAGACACTACCCCACGGTGATACTACGACTGGGATGGTAGTAATAATACCTTAATTACTGGACAGATATCTACTACCTAGTTTCTCAATCTTCTTCTTTCGAGTTTATAGTAAGTAGTTTTTGAGCTTGAGCCAATAGTTCCGTCTATTGAGTACATATCCAACCAGGTACTGGGATCAAGTGAAGGTCCCAAATCATAATCGCAAGGAAAGCTTTCCTGCAAGCCCAACGCCAGCACAATATAGGATACATCGATCAAGCAGTAGAGAACTCTAAATTAGGAGCTCACATTTTCGTCTCGGAAATCTCATGAGACGAGCCGCCTCAAGTATGTTCCCAATGAAGAAAGAAGTCCTTCTATATCAAACCCACAACACCCGTCCCAAAGAGAACTTATGCACACATTATCGGAACGGATAAACATGAATCGGAGAAGTGTATCGTCCACGAGGTGGTCCAAACGTCGGGGGTGCCTGAAATCCAGAACCACCTCGGCAGGAGGTGCGCAAAGCAAAGCAGCAGATGAGGTGGGTAGCCAGGGTCGGAGGAAGACGAAAAGACATGTCAGGAGAAGGAGGAATATGGAGGAAATATAGAAATCACATCGCAAAGCGGTCCGTGGCCGGCTAGGACAGAGTATTCCCAACCCGCGGGTTTGCTCTCTCCCTGCTCTTCCGGTACCCCTTCTCTTATGCAATATGCATTGAAATATAGCTTTTGAAATTTTTCATTTTTTTCAGTCTGAAACCCTATTGACTTTTCACGCTTGCCGATGGGAATCGTTTCAAGTCGGAGAAATGGTAGGTATAGTTGCATCTATGTGACAAGGGCCGTTACGGGTAGGAGCTCGAAGATCTCACTCCTGGCGTTTGAAGTAGGCCTTGGCCATCTCGTACGATGTCCTGTATGCCGATGTCAGTTCTGGAGCCCTGTTCAAGCGCAGATAACAACGTACCAGCAAATCGCGGTGCTGGGCATCGTGGAGATAATGCGGGGACGAGCGCCACGTAGGAACCCTCTCCAGCCAAACTGGCGCTTGATGATGGCCGCCGCATTGAAAAGGCCCTTTGCCGATCGAATCTCCTCATTCTGCGCCAACCCACGTGTCTGAAGAAGCGTCTTCACAACGTCCAAAGGAGTAGTAAGACCTGCAGCGAAGGCACCAGCGAGACCACCAGCGATGCAGTGAGTGAAGGGGTCATATTCCTGGGACGGGTTCATCACTTTCGAGATCGACTCGTACGCCACGAATTGAGTAGCCGTGAAAGGCACCGTCATGCAGAGTGTAGTGGGGTAAGAGACGTAGAATGCGTGCAGACCCTCAGTGCGGTAAACGGACGTGGCGCATTGTAAAAGGCTCTTATGTACGGAGCCATGTACTTGCATCCGTTGCTTGATGACTATTTCCGGGTGTCAAAGGAGTCAAATAGGTCAACCCATCGAAGACGACTTACCATCGAATGGATTCATCAAAGCATCGCTGGCAATGGTGGCCGCCGCTCCACTAGCGGCTTGGAAATGTTAGCACTTTTTCCTGCGTCGACAGAATTATAATTGAGAGGACTTACCGGCAGCAAGCGGATGGTGGCCCTCGTCGACATTTCCACCGGCCATTTCCTTGACAACCTCATAAGTACCAAAGTACACGGCATGCGCCGGACCTGCCGAACCAGGACTGTCAGCCTTTCCTCATCCCCCAAATATGTCAGTGATATGTGCATCCCTACCAGCACCAACAATCACACTCGAGACTCCCTTCCATAACGTCCGCCACCCCTCGATGCGATAAATCGTGGAGACCGCATTGGTCAGGCCGGTGTAAAGACCTCCGGTTGTAGGATGTATAACTTGCATGCGCGTCTGTCCGTAGCCACCCCGATATTAGTTACGCGTCCGAAAGTGATCTAAGAGAAATATTGTCATCATGCCCAACATACCTTCAATAAGTCTACCGGGTACATGACAGCGTGTTCCTTTCCTTCCGGTCAGTATCGCCACGGAATTCGCAAAAGCCCCAATTTTCAACGCCGACATACCATTATCCCTGCAAAGGCACCGGCCAACATGTTCCGGCCGAGGCCATAGTTTGAGGGAAGGGCTTCGTAGCTTTCGTATTACAGAGGTTAGCATTACGTCGGTGAGACTGGCAGTGTGATTGGAGGTAAGCAGATCGGCTCGCGAGAAGTAAACTTCAGATTGCCTTCTCCTCGCGCCACCGACAGCGTTGCAAATATGGAGTGGTGGAATCCAAGTTGAATATAGCAACATACTCATATTCCTGCCCTGGGATCTGCTCGGGGACCGCCATTGAGCTCTAATAGCTCCGGACGCAGCCGGAGCCGCACGAAATTGAAGGAGGATGAAGGGAGGAGAGGAGAGGCCAAGAAGACGGGTGCCTCAAGCTTGTCCAAATGTTCTTTTCAATATGCCGATGAAAGCGGGCTTTGGCAGGAGCGACGATTCTCGGTTGGATTGAGCCTGCGGCGAAGAGGAACGAGCTGGGCGCAAAAAGAGTCGAGGACGATAGGAGAAACGGATATGGGCCTCAAGGAAAACTCAATCAACGGGAGTAATAAGTGATGAATTCCAATGCGTGAGGCAAAGGAGAGGGCCGGATGTATGTAGGGCCTGATCGATCGAGAGGTTGACAATGTTTCCGGAAAATCCAGGTTGGGGAAATTATTGTTCTTTTTCGTTTGCTGCGCTAAAGTCGAATGCCGCGGAGCTAAAGTCACTACTTCCACCAGTGGATTGAACACAAGACAACTCGGACCAAATCAATCGAGCGACGAGACGTTACTAACTTGCTTAGAAGTTGACGATGGTGAACGAAGTGTATGACATTTTACTCTAGATCTAACACACATCGCTCTAGCACGATATACTACTGTCGCCAGGCGCACCATCACGATTAGTTGCTAATAATGAGGTCGCGGCTCCGCTGCTTAATCATCCAGCAAGCCTAGACTACACCGAGGTTCCGATAACGGAGATTTCTTCGGTATACTCAAAACAACCCTCGAATATCCTAGTTATCCGAGTAGGATAGGTAAAGATACATGAGAATGACAGCAGCAGCAGCAGTTGAATCATTTCATGCAGTCGGCGCCTACTCTTCCCCTGGAAGCCTTGTCAACTTCTGCCTGTCTAGCATCTCATAAACCTGTTCTTGTCCGCCACCCCGAAGCAGATATCTTATCATATCAGCACTGGATCCTCCGAGTCCCGGAGGAAACCGAATAACCAATGTTTAATGTTACTAAATTCTAATACCAAGCTCTTGGTTAGCTTGAGCTCCTTATCTGATCCCTAATCAGATTTTGAACCCCTAGTCAAGTGATCAGTGACCATGATAACGTTACCTAGTTAGCCTTCAAAGAACCATTCCTCTTGTTAATGGACTATCAGCACTAGATAGAAATTAACCCTTGTAGACTGGTTTTGTGGTGATTTTAAGAACAGGAGGAGCACGCAATCTACATACCATTGCTTGTGATTGCTATACCCTTCTACTTCCTAGGATATAATGACCCTGTCTTAATGCATACATACACCAGCTGTATATTTAAATTCTTAGTTGTATCCTCCGTACCCATTGTCCAACTGACCTGACGAAAAGAGATGAAAATAATGCATTGCTAACTGATACAATAAAATAAGTGAGTCACTGCCTCGCTAACTCCAGTAAAGTCAGTCACACCGGGTGCAAACAGATAAATGTAATGAGCTTGTATGAATCAGAAATAGTAATCATATGCGCTGTCATCATTCACGTCATGAAAATCCCATTCACATCTGGCCTGTTCGCCAGATTTTGACTGAATTATCAACATCTGGAACAGCTGGGTGTCTGTCGGCTCTATATAGTCTACCATTCAACATTGAATGACCATACCCCTGAAGAGATATAGTTGTCAGCTTTATCTCGTGCATCAACATTGTGTAACGAATGAGAGCTTACCTTGCTTCAATTTCTGGGCGGTGTCGCTAAGAAGGATCACTCGGCGTTTGTTGCAGTAGGCCGTTTTGTCCAAGATATCAACTTTCAGATTGGCCAATTCAGGTACTGGCTTTTCGAACATCTCACTAAGGCTCTCCACCGCAAGCTCCAGATCTTTCTGGTTGTCCTCGAAGATTTCCGTCAGGTTGTTCCGAGCAAGATAATATGCAAAGGCATAAGTCCACTTCAAAGTCTGTCGGCACTGCTGAAGTGCCTGAGATGCAGTATCGAGGAACTGAACCTCAATCCACGAGAGACCGGATTGAGATTGTAGGCTTGTCATTTTCTTTTCTGTCTTGAGGTAGAGATCTTTATCGAGCTTCGCAGATTGCTCGTGGTTAGCGTATCTGTTGTAGTAATGCAAGTATCTTTCGAGGGATGCCCGAGACTTCGCCTGCGCTGAGCGAGCTTCTGATCCTGACTTCTCCTCGTAGCGATTACAGTTGTACCAGCTGGTGCCGTGTTCAGACCACAAGCCCATGCACATCCAGCAGAACTCGTGCTTGCATTTGCGGCATGTCATATGGTTGCAACCCCCGTTCTTCTCGATCGTCGAATGGCACTTTGGGCACTCCTTCGTGTTGGCCGAGATCCAGTTGGCGGTCTCTGAGTCGTCTTCACACTTCTTGAGCCACATCTTGACCAACGTGCACGGCGACGGTAAATGATCGTTCAGCGTGCAGCCAAAGCAAAAGAAATGCTTACAGGCACATTGCACCGTAGGCACGATCCGATTGAGGTCGCGCTGCTTGACGGGGCAGTCGACCGCGTACTCACAGTTTGGTGCCGGGCACCACTTGAGATTCTCCTTGTCATCAACGTAAGTGCGCATCAATAGCGTTTGATATCTGCAAGGCCCGCGTCAATAAGGGTTCCAACACAACAAGACTTTGTGTAGAAGACTTACCTCTCCTTGAGATCATCGGTGACGAGAAGACTCAGGGACTTCGAATCCACAATCATACGGCAGCCGTCCCCGGGACATTCTATCCTCGCAGCTTCTCCCTCCTCGCGGATTTTCTGCGCGAGATAATGTCGGTAGCAGTCAACGCAGAAGCGATGTCCGCAGCGCATAGCATATGTCTCCAAATCGTCGCCATCCTCACAGCAAATGTCACACATGAACCCTGGTACAACCTCTGTCTTCGGTGTCCCATAAAAATTCGTCCCAAGCCCAGCTTCCTCGAGTGTCTCCTCCGGATGATCCATGTAGGACTCTATGAGCTTCTCCCGGTTCCATCTCCCAAACCGTAATAGAATCGCGGACGACTCCGGTGGCAGGCCCAAAATCTGCGAGACCTCGGTGACCTGCTGACTCTGCTCCCGATCGATATCCTCTGGGCTCAGAACTCTGAAGTCGACTTCATATGGCTTCTTTGTGTTCCCTAGTAGATCCTTATCTTGAGAAAATCCGCCGTCGAACTCGTCGCCAAACTCTAGAAACCGAGGAAAGACCGCGTCAGCAAAGTACGAAACGGGAGATCGAAAATCGCTAGGACATACCTTCTCCTAGACTCTCATCATCACTTCCCTGTGTATCCAAGAAGTCATCGGCGCTGGACGCATCCGTCATAAAATCATCGTCTGAATCCATGCTGGTAGACGCCGGCGTGACGAGATCGATTCCCTTTTGCTTGTTCTGAACAGTGACGCTCGCAGACGCCACCGATACCGAATCTGTGTCAGGATCTTGGTCCGCGAGCTTGTCCTTTTCACGAGTAGACCTCTTGTTTGACGAGGTTTTGCCGGTGGCGGTTCGCGAATCAGCGACGGAAACCTCGGTGGCGGTTATGGATGGTTCCTGGTCTGTAATCGCCGCCTCGGCCGCCTTCCTTTTTCTCGTTAGAGGAGGCGTGGTGAAGATCTATGCTGTGGCAAGCCGATATGTGCTGACTAGAAAAAAAAGTAGGCCTCGATGTTGTACCTCGAGGCCTTCTTCTTTTCCGGGACAACACAAGTCGCAGCTTACCAACAAAAAGTGGGTAACTATTTTCAGTCCAGGGAACTGAAGATGGTGTCAACAGCGATGGAAGGGTAAACGGAACTATGCAGCACTAGCACCAAACGGGGTCGTTGCGTCGCTTATCGAGTTCAGCGTCAAGGGAGAGAGCGAGGGGTGATTGTGATTAGTTATCACGTATGATCGCTGGACGTCACGGGAGTGGGGCGTCTAAACGTTTCGAAGCAAGCGTGTACTGTTACCCAAGACATCAATCACTGATTGTTTCAACTGACTGATAGTGTCAAGGGGAAGCCTGCAGACGTATGTGGAGCAGTATGAGTGAGTTAAAGGGGTTGGAAACAAGCGAGATTCTTGGGGATGGCTTAGAGGCTGAGAGCTGATGTACGATCTGACAGATCAGCAAGCCTCCCCAGTCATAAGGAAGGAAAATCTTGTTCGGATGACTCCGCTGGTATTCGCGGAAAGGCCACCCACTGTGGGGAGAAATCAAAGTACGGCTCAATGGGCTCAACAATTAACTAACTTACCGTTTGATATCCTTCGAGGTTTCCCTCTGCTGTCATTGGATCCTCTGGGGCTCTTTAGGTATTCTCGGAGTATCTTGCAGCGCCTTCTTAGATATCGATGCCCAGCTGACTGGGTCCACGGGAGAATGGGAGAAGCAATGATGTCACTGCATCCGTGAAAGGCTCAGTACAGACAGCTTCAAGGACTGGTTAAATCTAGTGAGATAGAAATTATGAGTCACGGCCAAGAAGAGAGTGACTGTTAGAGATTATCGATGCAAAGAGAAATGTATCTTGTACGTACTTCGACTGAAGCTAAATAATGGTGCACTTAAATAGACGCCTTGGAGCCATTTTCCAGGCTACTGGTCTTAGGCAGCCAGGCAACGATCTCACTCGAAATCGGCTCTGTCCATAGATAGAAGATTAGGCATAACAACATATCGAATATTGATCATGAAATTATATATGGCCCATCAATGGATATCATAACTTGCTCGTCTATGTTGATATAGCCTCATAACGCAAAACTCATCCCTGCTTTTCCACTCTTTTCCAAGGGCATGTCTATGTAGTGCCTGGCTTCAGTTTCATTCCTCATCGCTCTCTTCCTCACTCTCGTCCTCTTCACTACTTTCCTCTTCCTCGGCATTGGCGAGCCAGTCCACGAACTGTTGGGTCTGACTCCGCACCTGCCTCATCTCTTCGCTGGCACTGGATCGCTCATCGGCCCACCATTGCTCGTAGGCTTCCTCCTCGAAGAGCTCCAAATCGTAGAGCTCCTTAGCAGCGAACAGTAGAACTGTCTCGCCGCGAGGTCGATGTACAAGGTCCTGTTGGAGCAGGAGTAAGAAGTCGACCTGGTCGGTTTTCTCGTCGCTGTCTCGATCGAACATACACCGTTCAACAACCTCGCGATATGTGCCGAAAATGTCCCGAATCGCTTCACCAGCACCTTTTCCTCCTTCGATCAGTTGTTGGGTTCGCTTCATGAAGGCTGTGACAACAGCTCGTCGGAGCTGGTGGTCAGAGGCATTCGCAGTCATCCGCAAACTGACCAATTCCAACTGCACAACGTCCGATGTGACGCCGTCCTTCAAACTGTCGTAGACACTGGCTGCAGCGTCGTGCACGAAATGGTCCGCATCCTCATCTTCAGAGTACGAAGTACCGAAGCTCTCGGATCGAGATCCGCCGAAATGAGAAATCTCAGAGGACAGGGTAGAGATAGACTCCGTAGAAAGAGAGAGCTGCGCCATGTTGTACACTAAAGAGATATTAGTACTCGACACCCATTCAAAGTGATGATGAGGAGGGGCCTGAAAAGTGTAGGGGAAGGTGCGTACCCAGTCCTGAGGAAGCATTGGATGCAGCGTCGTCTTCGTCCTCGTCTTCCTCGTGGAAATATTCGTGACCTTCACCTCCTTCACCGACCACATCCGGATCATTCGCTGGTAGGCCCCCGTCTTCCTCTCTCGACGCCTTTGTGATTCTTCTGCCTTCGCTCACAGTCACACCATCAGCGATTTTGACTTCATATGAGAGAAGAGCGCCAGGTTCAACACTGCAATTATTGCCGACCACAGCCTTATCGGCAATGATAGCCTGCCGAACTGTTGTGCCGTCGCCAATCACCACACCATCCCAAACATAGGCACCGTCCAATGTAACGTTTTTCCCGATCTTGCAGTTCCTTCCAAGGACTGTGTCCTTGACTGTCGTCTTGTCGCCAATGCTTGTGCCTTTCCCGATAACCGTTCGCCGCCCAATGACACATGAACGCGCCAAAGTAACGCCCTGTTCTGCATACAGATTGCCCTTGCGGAGGTCGTAGGTGTGACCGGGAAGCAAGTTTGTATCCGGGCACAGTGGATACGTCCATCTCGATATAATATCCTTGCTCACTGCGTCGTATGCTTTCAGATTCCTCACTCGAGCAGCGTAGTGGTCCTTGATGATATGCGTGTGGATGGTTTTGCCGTTGAGCTCATAATCTTTGAGCACACCGAACAAGAAATGCTTTCGCGGAGACTGATAATCGAAACTATCGGACCACAAGCTCAACACGTCAGGCGTACAAATATCAATATTGCAGTCAATTAGATCCTGTCGGATATCGATCTCCGCATGAGATGAAATAAGCTCGGTGTCGATAGTCAGGCGAGATGACTCGTCAGAATGATGCTCAATTTCCTCATAGTGTAAACAACGATCTTTGGTGGGATCAATAACGAACACAGGGGACACGGAGGACGACTTTGTGCGATGGTTTCGACCAGCCTCTCGCAAGATCATAGTCATGATTGCATTCTTGTCTGCTTGGCGCCGGGCACGATGAGTTGCCAGTGCACCCTCAATAGGCAGGTTACTGATCACGTCACCGCTAACCACAATGAAGTCGCCAGTGATCAGGTGTTTGCCATCAAGATCACGCATAACATCACCAACTGAAGTCGATGTTGACTTGAGGAAAGTCAATTGCTTGAAAGGCGACGAGTTGCTTCTCCATTTCGATGCACTTCAGTAGATGCCAACGGTCAGTGGACATCCCTTAATCAAAGCAGATATCAACATACTTAATGTATCTCTCCAACTGATCCGAATGAGCCCCTCCATAAAGGAAAACCTCCTCGACGCCGGCGTTTGCCAAGAACTCAAAAGTGTACTCAATCAACGGTGTATTCGCAAGCGGCAAGAGGCACTATCGTACTCCACGTCAGCTACCGACTTTTTCGGCACGCCAAGTTTTCGAATCGCATCGTCCTTCACGAAATGGTTCAATCACGGACAACATACACGAGGCTTCTCAAGGGTAAAAGGCTCGAATCTAGTTTCGAAAGTATCGGCAAGAACCTGAGAGCACCGAAGCACACAATCAGCCATCGTCGTCCCATGATCTAGCGAACGGCAGTGCCAGTGCGCTGGTCGCTCCGTATACAATGAACATACCACAGCCTGCAATGTCTCCTCAACCTCCTCAGTCGCATTGCCTCTCTGCTTCGCTTGGCCGCCGCCGCCTTTTTTGGGACCCATCTGGCAGAAGAAAGTGGTCAGAGCTAGCTGCGGGCAATCTGAAGCATTCCGCACTCACGTCAATAATTTAACTCAATTTGCACCCCGCTTTCCGGATGATGAAAACACCGAATAGTCCAGGCTTCGAGACGAGAGCCGGTATGCGAAGCTGCTAGATGATGTGCAGATCAAGTTAATCGCTCTCAAGTTTCTCTGTCAGCGACGGCGCGCAAAGCTCACAAGTACCGCCAAGTGAGCTTTCATCCACAAAAATTGTGCCAAGCCCGATGCGAGGAGTCATTCCATCCCACTTCCACCCTAGGCGGTCAGCGACAAATGTTTGTACTGTTTGTATTCACGTGATGTCCCTTCTTGACCCACAAGCCACATCTTCTGCGTGCTCCAGCCTCGAAAAGTCCAGAACTTCATCAAAAGGCCTGGGCCCTCCTGGACTCAGGGTGATTCCCCTGTCAAGGGGCCAGCGGTCTAGAACCATGTAAAACTGATTTGCGTCAACGTGGAGAATGCAAGAGATCTGTCTAGATAGTGGAAAAGAAGGTTGACGAACTCTCGATCTTTTGAAGCTGACGTAGCCGTCTTGATTGTGGACTGTCTCGGAGATTTGGACTTAGCGGGAATCTCAACCACTGAGAGCACCATTACTCTTAAATGAAATGACCAGGGTTAGACTGTATCTAAAATAATTTTGATATGTGTGTATCTTCTAATAAGCGGTTCCCAATGTAGATGACATGATGAAGGAATGTGGCCAGACAGACTCAATGCCTGAGCAAAAGCCTTAGGATGATCATAGAGCGTCACTGGCCAGAAAATCGCACCTCAGCCTTCCATGCAAAACAAGAAATTATAATAAAAGAAAGACATTACAGAACCAAGTATCAACACTTGAAGGTAAAAGTAATGCAACGATGATTGGAGGACAGCTGATGCTACACAGCGCCCCTCGGCTTCCACCTCCGTACGAGCTCCGACAGTGATTTGATGCATTTCTCGCACAAGGGCCATTCCACACACTTTCGTCGTATCACTACGCAATGGTGAATGGATGCGTCTCTTATAGTGTTTGCAATCAATGCAAAGGACCCTAAACACCGCAAACGCCGTAGTCGCCAATTAACAAGGGACACGAAAAAGCAAAATCTCGAGGTAATGATCATCATACAAGAGAAACTTCACGATATATTGCGCAGAAAGAGGCGAAAAAGAGGTTCGATCCATTGTATGATTGAGATAGAGGTGAGAGGAGTGGGTGTGAGATAAAGTTGGCATAGATCGAGAAGCGTTCATTTAAAGGGACCGACTGTTCTCAGCTTAGCCAGTCCGAGTAGCCTGAGCTGTGTTGACCATCGGCTGTGATGGTTGAGCGTACATGCGCGGTCGCTTCGCAAAATTTGGATTATCTGCGGCGCTAGACAGCTCGGATATCTGCCGTCGATGAGGCGGCCGCGCAGCCGCAGCAGCGGCAGTGAGGGCCACTGGAGGCGCCGGGTATTGCACTCCATTCTGGTCCACGGCGTAGGCGGCTGGGGCAGCGCTCGCAGGGACATATTGGGGTTGAACCTGTTGAAGGAGGCCTTGGAATTGGCCGGGAGACTGCCAATTATTCATTGACGTGGCTGGTGATTGGCCAGGGGAGCTGTCTTCCTTGACAGAGTGGGTTGCCGAAGTTTGAGCAGCCATTGTGACTGTTGCCGTGGGTTGCGAAGTCTCCATGCCTTGCGGAATGGTCTTCAAATGAACCAAATGCTTCTCAAGCATGTCTAACAGGCTCTTTCGTGTGAAAGGCTTCGGTAGCACATCGTCCATGCCTGGTGCGCATTAGTAACAAAACGCCAGAGACCTTGGGATTGAAGGACTACGTACCATGTTGGAAGTAGAGCTGAATATCATCGCTTCTAATGTTGGAGGTCATAGCGATGATAGGAGTTCGGTCAAATTGGCGAATAAGGTGACATGCAGAAACCCCATCAAGATTTGGCATGATGATATCCATCAGAATCAGGTCGTACTTCGATCCATCCTGAATCTTATTCACCGCTTCCAGTCCGTCAAACTGTAAGACTGTCAGCTGCTTTGCATCCATACAGGAAGAGAGGAGAACCGACCGCGGTGTCAATAACACAAGAGAAAGAATAGAGAAATTTACCACCAATTTGGCGACATGTTGCATCATCTTCCACCAGTAGAATGTGTGGGCTGCGTACCCATCCGGGATCGACATTTGTGCTCTTCTTTCGATTGTCGGGAACTTGTCGGCGAGTGTCGTCCACTTCCTGTTTTGGAGGCATAGGATACGGCAAATTGTTCACATGTTCACTGTACATTGGATCAATTCCATTGGTAGCACCAACAGGGTAGACAACGGGCTCAATCTCGCCGTTCATCTTTGGATATAGAAGGTTGGTGGGATTTGCACCTGCCGCTGTAGGCGGGCGCACTACCCCATTGCGCGGCCCAGCCTCTAGTGCAGGGGTGGAAACAACAGGAGCGGATTTCGAAGGTTCGCCCACCGACTCCATGCCAGCCAAATTGAATTGGACCTCGGCGTTCATGTTACTCAGTAGCTTCGACGCATGCTGCAAGGGAGAGGAAGGCACATCGTCTACCTGTCCCCCATTCACGTTCGAACCGCCTTGCCCTTGAGCTTGGAAGGCCGCTGCTGCTTTGCTATCGCGCCTTTGGCGAGCATCTACTGACAGCAAATAATTCATCACCTGGTGAATGACATTTTCATGGTTCAGAACGGTCTTCTGAACTCTCATCAGCTCCTGCAACATGAGCTGATGATCGACCGTCAACTGTGCGTATCGATCCGAAAGGTGCTGGATCTGCTGCTGCTGCGCGACGATCTGCTGGTTCAGAAGATCGATCTGTTGTGTCGGAACTGAGTCGTCGGTGTTCTGAGTCTGCTTTCGAGGCGCCGGCGCCTTTCGTCGAATATTATCAAGCGATTCCTTGCTGTTCGCTCTGAATTCCGGGTGTTTGAACTCCCATGCCTATCTGTTGTCAGAATTGTTCGGCTTGAATCGAGCGACGAAGCCTTACGTTTTGTCCATAAGGCGATTGTCCATTTTCTTCGTTGTTTTGTCGGACCTTATGGAAGTCGTATTTATTCAACTGCCGCACAAAACTGGCAAAGTTGCTGTGTTTGAAGTGTTTCGGAAGGATGGTCTTTGTGAATTTCTCGCACTGCGATAAGGCAACACTGTCAGTTTGGAAGTTTCGACAGCGGACACCCCGAGGGGAACAGGCGGAGGAAGCAACCGACCTCGAGAACCACGAAACTATCTCCTTCGTCTCCCCAGCGAACGATTTCCGAGTACGAAGGGTCTTCCAACATTCTTGTGCAACAAATGAACTAGTTAGAAACATTCCACGAAGTATGCGATCCATCCTGGCCATTAACTGGTCGTAGTCAAGACAAAGGCAGGGGGAGGACAAAGCCAAGGCAGAGCGCTAGATTTTCCCCCGAAAGAATCGTAAAAGGAGAACTCACTTGTACAGTTTCCGCACCTGTAGTACATCTTGTTAGCCTCAGAACAGCAGAGATAATTATCATGCAGCTCAACTATTTTCTAAAAAGAAAATCTTCATCTTTCCAGGGTCAACACTTACAAAATCGCTGGAGTTACCAGCGGGGGCGGTGTTGGTCGTGGTCTGGCCACCCTCCATCGTGGGCTAGATGGGTCGCGACCGATCGAACAAGCAACAAGCTCACCAAGTCGCAGCTCTTTGAGAAGAACGGGCGGGAGTGATGAAGATCGCGCTATAATGTGCGCCGAGATGCGGATAGAAAAGATGCCGCTGGAGAATAATAAAGGAGAGAAAGAAGAAGAAATTGTCCAGGAAATCGGTAGAGGTTGAGGTAGTCGAATAGTAGGTAGTTTAGTAGTTGAAAAAGGTGGTGGTGTTAGCATTTAGCAGCAGCAGTAGTTTTAGGTAGGAATAAAATGATTAGTTGGTTCGTGGTGATAAAGTGGGACGACTAGCTGAGTTGTTGGAGTTGAATAACTGTTCTTCCGCGGTTCGTGCACAAAGACGCTGTGGGAACCACTTTTTCACGGTCTTTCGTTCTATAGTAGACTAGTAATCCTGATCATATTATTATTTACTTCTGATTAATAGGTAGAACGCAACATAATCGTTGAACTGTCTGTTTAGGCTTCCCTTTCCCTAAAACTGATAAATGCAAGGAGAGGCAGAAATGAGGGGATAAGAACGGAGAGGGCAAGAAATATCATACTACCGGTCCTTGGGAATAACAGTGGGGACCCAAGAGTTATCTACTTGGTAAGGACTGAGGAAGGGGGGAAATAACAAAATCAGGTATGAAAAATCAAAAATCCACAGTGAAGGAAGAATCAGCGCACATACTTATGCAAAGCAACATAACCGTTTCAAGTACAAAGCCTGTGAGTTGCTAACTTGGTATTATTTATTAGCTACTGTGTGTCTTGCGGAGTATTCTTATTAAACCCAACGTGACTATGTCTCTACAATATGCAAGAATCATGGAAGTTAGTAATGTCAGTGCGCATTTCGATGCAGACAGAAAGCAACAACAATGGAGGGGAAGACATTATGACCCTGGAGTATTGATGAGGATAGGCGAATGATGATGCTAGAGGGGAAGTCTAATGCATTATGATCGTCCTAACTCTGGGGTCCTGACGCTCTTCCACAATAGGAGGAAACGGTCAATCAGATATAGATAGTTTTGGTCCTTATTCATTCATCAAAGGTATTAACTGCAACTTGCTGCAGATATTCTCTTGTGGTCTACGGCATATGTAGGTGAAAGACCCCAGAGTTATGTAGAGTACCCCAGGGTATCATAAGGCAGGTGGATAAGGACTCAGTCAAACTGTCGAGGATTAGACACATAGCGGATATTCTACCCGCACCAATATTCGTTCAGTGGATAATGGATAGTTTTGGAATTGCTGGTTTCATGCAGATCCCTCGCGGAACGTGGATGAGGTGGGAACAACCGATATTTAGACAGCTTTGGGGGCAGGAGAGGTGAAATGTCTAGAGAGGTAAGAACCCTTAGGTTGGAATGTTCGTCTTTATTTTGATTTAGGAGTACTCCTGCGTATGATTCTTACATATCCTCTGATGTCCCTTTATTGTGTACAGTGTTGGTTATTTTATTTCTACATGCCCTTATGACTGATGAGGTTTGGTCAGACCCGGTTTTCAGGGAGCTGTGCGCCACATCAGCAGATCACCCTAATACTAAGATAGTTGGCATACGGGGAGAACAATTTGAAGAAGTTGATAATGAGTATGGTCAGGGGTCTGAATCTCTTTCATTCAAAAAACTGCCATACTGACTGTCGTTGAAGATTCTGACTTAAGTGAAAATACAAGCCAGATGTCAGTTTCTCCTCAGCTGCCAACACTTAGTTACTAAGTACCCCTTGCACCAACCACTTAATAATTATTATTGACAGTTGGACTTAACTGTCTTTCACGTATAAGCAATTAGATCAGGCTTTGTCATAATGGGATGAAATGGGATGAACTGCAGACGGAGGCTCCTCTTGACCATACATTAACCTAGACCCTGGAACCACCAGAATGTCCTCATGACTCGATTATACAGTAGTAGGAAAATGCAAGCAGATGCACAGCAATATTTATGGCAGTCAGCGATTACATATCGTATCAACCAAAGTGTTGGTGGAGAACTTAGATGGCTCCCGATGCTGCCATACCAGCAGCCATGACGAAATACGTCCAGTAGTGGTGAAGCGCCTCGGCCATGCTATCTAGTCCCAACGACGCGCCAGGTACACAAACCTTCCCTACGCATCCATCACTTCATCGTCTATCTCGGAGACAATTATCTGTCAGTTGAATTGGCACATTTACATATCTCATAGCCGCTGCTAACCACATTCTGAGCTCAACAGTCCCTCTTCTCGTAAAGATGTTTGCTGCCCGTCGCCTCGCTACCAGCGCCCCTCGCGCCGTGTCCCGGAGGGCGCTGTTTCACAGCACTGCGCCAGCCTTCGTCCAAAAGGGAGACGCCATTCCAGATCTCGACGTGCTGGTCGAGAGTTCACCTGGAAACAAAGTCAATCTTGCAAAGGAGCTCAAGGGAAAGGGGGTTATTATCGGTGTCCCTGCTGCTTTCAGTACGTTTGCGGCCCCCAGCCTTGAACCCCTACATCTCATACGCATCCAATCCGACATGAGATCAACGAGAGGGGAAAGACAAATGCTAATTGACTCGAATAAAAGGCCCCGCTTGCTCTAGCTCCCACGTGCCAGGATATATCAACCACCCCAAGCTCAAGGAAGCCGGCCAGGTCTTCGTGGTCTCAGTCAATGACCCCTTTGTGTAAGTTGCCAATGGTCGATCGTTGAGGCCTCCAAATGCTTGGGTCTCAGTGACCGAAGCTTACCATGACTTAATAGGATGAAGGCCTGGGGCGTTTCCCTTGATGCCACTGGCAAGAGTGGTGTAAGTCTTCCCCATGATACTGCGAATCTACAAAATCAATGGACGCTAAAAAAGGAGGATAGATCCGCTTTCTGGGCGACCCGACCGGCAAGTTCTCGGAGGCGCTCGATGTCACCTTCGACAGCAGCTCAATCTTTGGGAACCAGAGAAGCAAGCGGTATGCGCTTGTTGTTGAGGATGGAAAGGTTAAGGAGGCTTATATCGAGCCCGATAACACCGGTGTCAACGGTATGCATATTTTCTACTATTGTCTTGGTTGCCAGGAATATACTAACATCATGGAATGTAGTCTCGGCGGCTGAGAAGGTGTTGGGCTAAACATAGGTATCAGAAATTCACAGTGTGATTTTTGATGATCCTGTTGATGGTACAATGATAACTCCCATCATATGTAGTCTATAGCCAAAGGCGATGTACGCTAGAAATCCTCCTAGCGCCTGATTGTTCGATACCCAAGTACGATGAAGGGCATCTGGAATATACAACGTTTCAATCAACATAACTCGCCCCCAGATCAAGCGCCATAGTCATAACCTTGGTATATTGCGAATTCAAGCGCTTCCTTGCTGCAGGGCCTGCCATTGCTCGGGGGTGTAGCACTTGGGTGTCCAGGCGTGAATAGCAGCAATCTCCGACTTCAAGACCGAGTTCACCAACCGATGGCGCGCAAGCATGTTCTTCTTCTCAAACTGCGGAGAAACAATAATCGCCTGGAAAGCCTGTCCGCAGCCACCTATGAAAGGGAAAAAGCAGTTAGACACCCTAAGTCAAGTATTTCCACACTGTAGCCATCGCTGCAGACTTTACACACCAGACAAATCCTCAATCTCCACAACCTGCGCCTGAAGTTGTTCAACCAATTTACTCTTCAGTAACTCCGGTGTCACACTCGACGTTGCGTCCGCCATTGCTGCGTTTATAGCCGCGAAGGAGCGTGCAGTGATCGAAAAAGGCGAGTTTTGGCGAATGGGGGTGCGGAGAAGGTACCGGCAGCTTCTGCTTAACAAAGTGGTGGTGCGGGAGTACATCAAGCGTGGCTGTCAGGCATTAAGTAAGAGGGGTCAGCGGGGGTCTTCCTTTAATATGCAAGCCAAGGCGTTGATGCGTTGATGCGTGTAACCAATAGATCTTGCAAACAGCTCAGAAAAATGATAAGTGATACTGAAGTAGTCGATTAGATATTATCAATCCGCGGAAGATGGATGACGGAATCCGTAACGGACGGATTCGGTCAGGAAAGTGTGACGGCGTAAATTACAGCGTGTGGCTTGATTACCTTTGTTTTGTACGCTCAGTTTTATCTGATCACCTGCATCCTGTGGCTGGTGTAGTATCTATCGGCGTGGCGCAAGCTATCCCCTCTCTTATCGTTTGGAGTTTACCTTTTGCTAGGATCTTCTTTCAAAGACATATACTGTGCGCAACATCACTTGCTGAAGATTATTGCATCCTTTCATGAGTTCTTTCTCCCGAGTAGCACTGCGCCGGCTCTCAACAATGTCGACTACCTCGTCACCTTTCACTCGGGCGGTTGTGAGCTCTATGAAGAAGCTGTATGCTTACACCTTACTTCAGTCCTGCCATCACTGGCATTTCTTCTCAATTGCGATTTTGCTAATTTTCCTACAGCTATCCGGAGTCATTAGCAGACAAGAGCTTTGACAACACTGGCTGTGAGATTGCCTGTATTATGTCATAGTGTCCCAATTGCTCATACAGTCGTCACCCAGTGCTTCTGGAAGCTCCCTTCCATCCGGCTCGGCGGCAAAAGAATTCAGTGCTTCTGACCATTGATCTCACAAAGGCTGTGGCAGATGAAGCTATCAAGCGGAAGGATTCAGTGGTTGTGGCCTACCGTATGCATTATGCCCGGCAATCGTCTACGGGCTACCAGCATATTCGCTAACCTGGTTTTTGTTACGCAGACCCCATCATCTTTCGAGGACTGAAGTCTCTCACTCTCAATGACACACAGCAACAGACACTGCTGCGGCTCGCCTCGGAGGGCATCAGCGTGTACTCTCCGCATACAGCTGTGGATGCTACCCCCGGTGGGATGGCAGACTGGCTTTGCGATGTCGTTACCGGCGCAATTGCTCCATCCACCGACTCGTCTCCCTCTCTCGCTGCGTCCACCTCCCAACACTACTCCCAGCCAACGTATCCCCAACCTCGGCCAGCATCCGTATCCCCCTCCTCCGCATCCCCCCACGTCCGAAGCACAATCCATCCATCTCCATCCCCAGTCCCTGAAGGTATGGAATCAGCCGGTATGGGCCGTCTCGTTACCTTCGAGACTCCCCAGCCTCTCACCACCATCGTCGACCGCATAGCACAAGGCGTCGGCCACCCGGGCGGTATCCCGATCGCGATCCCACAGACTGTCCCGGTCGACTTAATTAAGATCCGCACCATCGGCATCTGCCCGGGTTCTGGATCTAGTATCCTTATGAGTTCTGGCAGCCTGCCAGATCTTCTGTTCACAGGCGAGTTGAGTCACCATGAAGCGCTGTCGGCCATTGAGCGTGGCTCGGTTGTTATTGCGCTCGCGCATTCCAATACCGAAAGGGGATACTTGCATGCCGTCATGCGTCAGAAGCTAGCCGCTACCCTCAAGGAGGAATGGGAGGCCCAGCGCGAAGAAGGGCGGAAGGCTCTAGAAGAGACTTTCAGGCAAGGAGGAGCAAGCGTGCTCGGGAGTTACGAGGAGGTCTACAAGGACCCTAGTTGCGCTGTCGACGTAAGTGAACGTGATCGGGACCCTTACGGTATTATGATCCGACGGGTGTGATCTCTTCAACATCGCAACGAAGCATATATTGCCTGCCGGTGTAATGTACCTTTAGCACTAGTAGAGCACGCAGCTAAAACCATCATGAAGAACTAGGTTCGAGTAGATGAGTATGTAGATGAAGCACCTATATACACGACTCACCACCATCAGTAATGACGGAAGCAGTCTCATAGCGATCAGCTCAGCAACACCCGGATCTCGCCCGTAGTACGAGGGAAGAGCCTCCTAAGCCCGGATTCCTGCTCATCACCATCAGGTACCCTTCCGCTCGAAGAGACAACATCATCCTCAACGCCAGCGTCACTTCCATCCTCCGTCCGTTTAATATCGACTCTACCTTTAGCTTCGTCCGCGCCGATGATCATGCCCTCCACAAATTCAAAGTCGCGGCAGAAAGCCTCGACTGCTTCTTCCGTGACGCTCTGAACGAAACTGGCACTCTGCAGGTGTTTCAAGTTATCCGTAGCATCCATCAGGGCTGAGGGAAGGAAGTCATCGAGCTGTTGGCTGACGGCGATGAGGGCTTCTGGCTGGAAGGCGGGAAGGTCAGCTATCCCAGCGATGTCTGTGGGTTGTTTATCGGCCTGTGGCAGTGCGTGGCCATCTTTTCCCTCAGATTCCGGTTTTGAAGTTGTTGAGGATGGAGAGAAAGGCTCGAGGGCAGCCAACAAGATGCCCAGGCCAGAAGCATCCAGTAGGTAGCGGTGTTGGATTTCAAGCAATTCCATTCGCAGGCTAGACAGTGCTGTAGAGATTGAATTCAGATGTGTTGCACTTGCGAATGGGAAGGCAGAGATCGTTGAGCGTGCTGTTAGGAGAACGTTGGTGATGTAGATAGCTCGGGCTGTTGCGTCGGGGAGCTCGGCCGCTGAAGATTTGGCCAGTTCCAGGAAAGGGTCAAACGCGACACGGAGGACGGGTGTAAATTTGTTATCCGCTGTGCTTTCAGATTTCGCATCTTCTGCCCCGAGTGAAGCGTCATGGGTCTTCATGAGGGAGGTCAGTTCTTCCAAGGCATCAAGGAAGAACTCCGGCGCGGAAAGGTCGTCCGGTGGAGTTAAGGCAGCGTGATCGTTAGAGAGTATATTGACGTGCTCGCGTATAATGCTTTCGAAGCGGGCAAAAGTAAAGTTCTCTAGTGTCTGCATCATGTCTGCCAAATTGGATTTCGTTCCCAGCAGTCTGGAAAAGGTGGCTCGATAGAACGAAAGCAAGTGGACAACTTTGTAGCAAGTGACTGGCTCGTCGTGGCCCTGAATCACCAATTCAACCCGCTGCCGTAAAGCTCGAGACACTCCGACTAGATCACGATTCACGAGGTCGCTGAGGGCTTTCTGGCCATCAAAGGAAACCTCTTCTCCCTCATCAATACGTGACCAGGGTTCGCTGCTCAAGCCAGCCTGGATCCCTTTGGCAATTTCCTCCCCATCTGCTACGAACAAAGCTTCCAAGGCCTCTCTCTCGGATACAGTCGTAGAGTGGACCCATGCCAGCATATCGCCGACGTACCGCAAAGGATCATGAGCAGAAAACTCAATCGGCTTCACGTTGCGGTCACCCCCAGAGCCGGAGACGGCGTCGGTTAGGGCATAATGAAAGGCGTCGGACAGGACATAATCTCGTGCGTCGGCGAAGAAGTCCAAGCAGCTGTGGAAGAGGCTCGGTCGTTCGGCCAGAACGCGCAAAGCGCGCCTGATTGAACCGCTAATCCGCGGATCTTCGAGGTTTAAGGACTTAAACTCCTTCTGTATCCATCTGAAGAGTTTCTGGTATGCGGAGTTCAGATTCCTGGAGCTCTTCTCCATCAATTCCAGGCCCAGTCTTTGGTTCTCCCCTCCCAGTAGGACCTCGCAATCATGGTGCACCTGTTTTACCCGATCAAGAACATCGAAAAAGCGGTCGTCAATTGGCTCCTCTGCCGATGTGAGAACAAGTAGATCATCGTCTGAAACGACGAAGTGCTTCACGAACGCATCGAGAAGTTGTTGTTTTGTCTCCGATTCCTTCTTCTGGTTCATCAGTGCAGATGCTTCCTCGATGACCGGTGCCGTGTCCTGTTTAGCTCGGACAATGTGCTGCCGCATCTCTTCACATGTTTGATTCAGGCTTGATATCACGGTTCCGATCCTTTGCAATTGCTACCAATTTGGACTATGTTAGCCACCCGCTTCAAACGTCGCTCTTATGCCGCCCAAGATGCGAAAGGACTCACCTCCGCGACCTTGCCGAAATCTCGAACGATCTCTGCATTGCATTCCACCACTTCTTTTTGCACATCTAAGCGCAGCTGCCTTCGTGTCTCTGCCGTGTTATGTACGCCCCGAAGACTGAGTGTCTCCAGCGCATCGCGTATATCGGAGTCCGCATAGGAGGCAGACAGTACACTTGTCAGTCGGTTTGACAAGGCATTCGATCGCTGTGTAGGCGGCGACAAGGGAGTGGAGGCCGGGGAAGAAGCACGTATGGAGGAGTGGTTAGCTGTAGCTCCCGGAGGAAAGTAGCTTTCCATGGTGGGCTATCCGACTAAAAGTCAGACCGGTGAACTGTCGAAGGATGATGTATCCAGGAGGTCACTACAGTGAAAGCGGGAAGTCGGACCACAACAATCCCCGCTCCTGATTCCAATCCACCACATCTCGAGTCGATCCTATGGGAACGCCGGTGGCATAATTGGTAAAGCTCGATTACACGCGGGAATTGATCGCTGCGGTCCGGTTTACAATTTTGCTTCTCTACATACCAGTCAGGAGGTTACTTGGACAGCCTGGCGATGGACAGCCCGCTCCTTTCCCCCGCAAAGGCACGTCAAGCAGCCATTCAGGCCAAAGACTGGGCATATGTGAATTCGTGGCTAAGTCGCCAATACTCGCCGAATCCAGTACCGAATTTTGAACGAAATGAAGACACCTTGCGTACACTTTTAGCTCTTGCTGCTGCTAATGACGCAGCGGACGAAGAGGCCGCATTGCTCCACCGTGCGCGCGAGGAAGCGATTCGGGAATTCAGAGAGCGCGAGGAAGCTGAGGATAAACAGAAGAAAGAACTACTGGATGAGCTGGAGCTTTGCCTCGGTGAGAATGGAAAACGTGATCTCGACGATTTGGCGGAGACGACTGCTGTCCTGGGGGCTTTACGCACAGGGACCAAAGACCTTGGTCAGTCAATCATCGAGCTCACAGTAGAGGAGTTTGATGCTCAGGAGGAACTTTCTAAGGTTGACATGCTACAAAAACATCTGGAAAAGGAACTGGCCGCTCTACAGGAACAACTTGATCAACTCAAGTCCGATCCTGCATTCGAAGTACCTGCAGACCTCCCGGCTCAGACCGCGGAGTGGTCGAGGAGTACCAAAATGCTCACTGCAAAACTTACCGAATACCAAGACAGGTTAGCAACTTTGGGAAGAAACAGCAGCAAAGGTCCTACAATCGAAGACTTGGTCACAGAAGAGAAGCAAATAAGCCAACTGAAAGACATCATTCAGAGTCTGGACCACCGATTAAAAATGTTCCATGATCTGCCGAAGGACATTCAGGGCGCTCGGGCACAATACAGGCAGCTCGAGCGAGAATTGAACCAACTCATTGAGCGACGGGACTCGATGTTTGAGAGTTTAGTGGAGAAGAGATGAATTACGGATATAGGCGAGCATGTGAGCTACTTTCAATCATGAAGACATATCATTCGTAACTAATAACGACATAGGGTATGAAAGCATGGTTTCCGAAGTACTGTCGTGAACTCATAATGGAATGATGATATCAAGCTGCCGCAGGCTATCCATTCGCTTCCAACACAGTATATCTAGTGGTTGCCGAGGCCGACGGCGTTCTTGACCTTGTCACCACTGCACGAAGACAAGTCAGAACTAGTTGCAAGCTCAGTCTGTTTGAAGAATACTCACATGGATCCGCCGGCACCGCCGTGGGCATGGTTGTCATGGGAACGCTGAGTCTTGTCGAAAGCCTCCTGAGTGCCGGACTTGCTCTGGTCGGTCTGCAGACCACGAGCGACACGGTCGCCGGTATCAGTAAAGCCCTCCTTGATCTTCTGCTGGGTGGACTTGGTGGAATCAGGAGTGATCTCCTCCTTGGCCTCTGCACGTCTGTGTTAGTGAACTGTAACAATGGTTGCAATGTATGGAGTTGCATATCACATACTGGTAGAGAAATCCTTGCGACCGGCGTCAGACATTTTGAAGATGGTTTGATAGGGATAAAGTAAGATTGGTTTGAATATTCGAAAAGTGTTTGCGTGCTTGTGGATTGTTTGGATTGTTGTGATTGTTGTTGATGATGGAGCTCTACACTGGTCGAACGAGACCTTTATATCTTTCTCTGCCTGCCATTTGGACCCCTGAGACTGACAGCTTCAATGACGTCGTTTGAGCAACCTGTATCTTGCGATATCTGTAACCAGGATTGCGACTATCCCAGGTACATACTCTGTCATAATTCACAAGTGCTTGCAGCCAGTAATAGATACCCCACAACTTGCCATCGCCGAGCCCTGTGCCTCGGACATGACATATGGTCGATCTAACGTCACCATTACGAAGCTTGTCCCTGACTCGTGCGCAGCCATCATGAGGCTTGAGTTCTGACGTTGGAGTTTAAGCCACAACCATCAGAGCGGGTAATATGGTTGAACCATGTTATGAAGTTATGACGTCCGGATGATTAACAGCTAGCCCACATGAGGTTAGCAATATTCTTGGCAATTTTGCAGCCGTGTTTGTATCGGATTATCTGTCATTGCGGCCTCCGGGAAGGCTATACCGTTTATGGAAATGAGTTTTTGATTTAGAGGAGAGAGAAGGCGGTGGGAATCGACAGAATAATCGCCACCCATCGAGTCATCTGCAAGGGAAGGGTCATGGTGTATGCCCGATCTGCCTTATCTATCATCTACGTTTCCTTCAATGCTTCTGGCAGCAACGTTGTCTTGTGCAATTGTAGCGACAACCATGTTGACCTGCTCTACCTTTTCATCTTGTTGTTTGTTATCACATTGTCATCTCTAGTCATTTTATCGTATTGTCGCTCCAGTTTAGTTTACCGTTCTTTGTGATCCTTTCGAAACCCCGCATTATCTGAGAAGCGCCTCGACACTTGCACAACTCTTAAGCATACATATCAACATAAACCATCGCGCTACTTGTCAATGCCATCATCTGCTGAGACAGCTTCGAACTGGGACTTCACTTCGGTGTTGAATCTGCTACGTTCGCCTGCGTACAACGGGCGTGAGCAATCCCATCTAGTTGGCCACACCAACGTGCCTGCTACCTTCGAGAAAGACGACACCAAGAAAAGTGCCAGCGATTCGGACGCTAGCTATCCGAGGCTAGGCGATTTCGGCCCTCTCTGGGATCTCCTTGGCCGTGGGAGTTCACCAGACGTGAAGACAGAACAGTCTCAGGCTCCTAGGGCTACTTGTGCTGAACAGCAGAAATGCAACCCGATTCAGATACTCAAGAGACCTTTAGCCAATGCAAAATCTGCCGAGCATACTATCGAACAGACGTCTCGTCCGGCCCCTAGGCCGATCCTTGGTTCAAATGCCTACGAAGCCCAACTCCCCAAAAAGAAAGCTGTAGCAGAAAACAGCACAGCCTGTCAGAACCCTCAATCGAAAGCTTCGGACGCCAGCTCGTCGGAGAGTAGTGCGGAAGCAGAGTCCGATGGCAACTTCAGTGTCTTTGACCCACCCTTGTTGAAAAACCGGGGTGCCGTGTCCTTCATCCCCCTTCAAGTCTGCACAACGGCGTCCAATGCTGAGCCGTGCGACACTCCGCCATCCTCTTTTGATGAGCTGGATGGATCCCTGACAGCTGAAACTGTCAAGAGCTTGCCTACTGGTCCTATTCGCGCGCAGCCCATTGCGTATAAGTCGGCAGCAGACCGAAAAGTTGGTCTCCTTACCAAACTCCTGAAGAAATTTCCTGAGTACGCGGAAGCGGTGGCTCAAGTTGGCCGGTCTCAAAGCACTAAATCGAACGATCAGGCGTCTCGTCCCATCCATGTCTTTGTGGATATGTCCAATGTGAGTATTCGGTACGCCATCATTTCCATGATCATGACTAACTTCGCATATGACAGATTATGGTTGGCTTTCATGACTCTGTGAAGCTAGCTCGCAATATACCTGTGAAGACTCGCATTCGGCGTCTACCCCTCTCGTTTCAGAACTTCTCTTTGATTCTCGAGCGTGGCCGCCCCGCTGCCAAGAGAGTCTTGGTTGGCTCTGATCGATTTGCAGCCATTGACGAAAGTCAAAAGCTGGGCTACGAGGCCAACATATTGAATCGGGTTCACAAGGTGAAACATGTGACTCGTCGTCAGTCGAAGTATCGGAAGAATCCCCGAGTCAGCTCTCAGGAAGGAGGCAGCGGTTCTGAAACGAACGATGCGCCGGAGGAGCGATGGGTTGAACAGGGAGTGGACGAAATTCTGCACCTGAAAATCCTAGAGAGTCTGGTGGATACCGATGAACCGGCGACTATTGTCCTAGCCACGGGGGACGCAGCGGAAGCTGAGTACTCAGGAGGCTTCATGAAGATGGTGGAGCGAGCACTGCAGCGAGGATGGAACGTCGAGCTTGTGAGTTTCTCGCAAGTGACGAGCTTCGCCTATCGTCGAAAGGAATTTCGCGCGAAGTGGGGGAAGCAATTTAGGTTTATCGCATTGGATGAGTTCAGTGAAGAGCTGTTAGACATGTGAAACCAATGATATTTGTATGGATTGTCCGTGCACTTTACTTCTATCTTGTAGAGAGGTACCTTTAGCGTCGAGCAATCCGCTAGCTTGGAGGCAGCAACCGGAGGACCGACAACCGTCTTTCTACAGTTAGTCTTGCGCAAATAGTAAAGTAGGCATGTATCTACGACATGTAGGCTCCAGCTGTGCTTCAGGGATACTGTGGTCCGGAACACATGTAAACATTGATTCTCCAATTAAGCACTCATAGAAGTCAAATCCGACCAATCAGACCAACGGGAACCCCTCCAGGCACGACCGAAGGCGGACGTCATTCTGCGGCGGAATACCGTCCACCGCAGTCAACAGCATCGAAACAATAGATACTCTGAGAAATGGGATGATAAATAGCTCTGAGGCTGCTTCCAATAACTTATCTTGTCTAACTCAGCTCACCCAGATCACCTTTTGCTCGCCCTTTGAATATTGCGTTGTCCGTGATCTTCGATTATCTCCGGCAGCTTCCCCGCGTTGAAAGAAAATAATTACGTGCAACAAGACGATATGGCTACCTTTACCGAGCAGCCCTTCTACGGCGGCGCAATTCAGGGCATCATCCCCGAAGGCTGGGTAGACGGAAGGTTAGTATACCACACATTCCTGCTCTTCAACAGGCACCCAAGCTAACATCTTAGGGGAACAGTTCCCTCCGCGAAATCCCAGACCACCAAGAACTCTTCCTCTCCCCGACCACACTCTCAAGCTTCATCGTCGAAGTCAACCAGCGCGTCACACAAGAGCAGGCCCTATCAACGCTGGACACGCAGGCCGCCGTCCGCGGCGGCATCCCCGCCACCCACGAGACAATCGACAAAGCAGCCGTCATGTACCACCTGCGCGACCTGTGCGACGAAGACGACACCCTGCAGGTGATCATCCCCGCGACAGCGGTAACCCCAGCCAAGATCCCTGCCTCTGCGCGCGCGCATGCGTACAAGGGCGTCGTGCAGATGACGACGCCTAAGCGGCAGCGGAGGGATACCAATACGGGGAGGATTCCTGTTTCGGTTGGGGGTGCGGCGGCGGGATCTAGTGCGGACGGGCCGCAGACGTCGCGTGTGACGGTGCATTATCTGCTTGTGCGGCTGGAGGCGCAGGAGTCGGATCTGCTTATTTTCTTCAATGTGCCGCATGATGAGTTTGATTTGTCGGGGGATCCGCGGGGTTTGTCGAAGGAGGAGGAGGTGGCTACTGAGACTATTGATCGGTTGGTGCAGACTTTGGAGGTTAGGGACTGGGGATTGTTTGCTTAGGACTGGTCTTTGGTTGCAGAAGAACTGGGGAAGCGCTTACAGTCTGGAAACTGGTGTCATCACATGCGCTCTTTGATTGCTTCAGGAACCCCATTACTAGCACAATTAGTCTCCACCAATAATGGTTATAAAATATCAACATAATTAATTCACGAGCGGATCTTTCCCTTTTTTTTAAAGCTGGCTCAACACTCAGCCTTGTACCTTTTGTTTAGCTTCCTAAAAAAGCAGAGGTGCTCCTACTCTGTTCCAGAGCCGATAGAACCCAGCCCTTCGTCCATTCTGAGTGCAATACCTGCTGCGCTGTCGCTCTTTCCTCCGGCCGGAAGGCCAGCATCGACCGAAGCATCCCCTCAAAAGCTCTTCTTTCTTCCTCCATCACGGTCTCTAGGCCCGCCTCAGCCCGAGGCTCCTGTATGCTGTAGTCGAACCTCTTGTCCAAGGTCCTGCGCACGCCATCGTGGCCCGCAGAGGTCGCTGGTTTCAGAAGCATTTCGCCATCTTCGTTGAACCATTCCAATCTTCTCCTCCACTTTCTCCATCATTCCGGAGGTAAGATGCCTAGGTCTTCAACTTGCTCCATGGGAACGCAGTCGGCAGTCGGGAAGAAAGCTTCAAACAAAGGTCGCTGGCCAAAAATTTCACATCTGCAGAGGCCGCATTGCGCACCCAGTCGGCGTCCGCGTCACATCTGGCCAATGGTCAATAAAATGAGCAATCAATATATCAGTTTTGCCAAAGGAGGACTACGCGACTTGGCGTTAGTGCCTGGGAAAGAAACCCAAAGTGTCCTGGTGACACGATTATCCTGAAGGTATGACAGGTAACATTCTGGCACAAGAAAGGAGGTTGCGAGTTCTCGGCATGATATCTGGGAAAAGTATGGGGGAGATAATCAATCAGAAGACTAGAGAGGTACTTTGGCAGAATGTGGGTGAATCTATGAATAGATATCCGCAAACTGAGAAATGAAAACATATAAACAATGTTTGTGACATTGGGGACTATGTTTCCAAGTACAATGTCAAATGTTGCCTCTATCTACATTACCACCATCAAATAAGCTTGCTTGCTTTTACCTGTTTCCAAGAATTGTTAGGTGGGATCCTGGAGGTAGGAAGAAGGATGATCCAGATCGTCAGTAGATATGAGATAAATTCATCATGTCATCATAAGGAGCGCTATAGTTATATGTCGGAGAAATGACTAAATCCTGTAACTTTGAAGGAGAGACAAATGTTTCCAAAGGGACAGACAGCAGGCCAGTCAAACCTCCACCTCCGCTCATTAACTGTACAAACTGACTTCGCCAAACACTTTCGCCATATCCTCCACTGATTTCTTTTCGCACCGCTCTGACGGAGGAGTCGGTTGCTTCTTCCTGGGTGAGACATTTCTTGGCTTCGGCTTGATCTGCTGCAAAAGGCCTTTGCATGCGCCGCAGCGAGATTTTGCAACGTCAATGCTCTTGGAATGCCGGCCATAGTTCTGACCGCAGTCAACGCAACTCCAGACATATTTGTAATCGATCTGGTAGCTGTGTTTCGTCGTCACTTCGACTCTTCCGCCGTACACAGGGTGGTCTTTCAAGGCTTCTTTGCATTTGCGACCCCAAAGCTTAAAGCTTGCCCCATGGGGGTTGTTGTGGATGTTTGAAATCATGTAATTCGCCAGATGGCAGTACTCATGTGCCACTGTGTTGATCAGTCGATCCTCGCTGTCGATGATGCGCTCTGCAAGCTCAATTGTAGCATGCTGCTTGATCAGCGTTGACGGTTCAGATCCGCTTTCTGATGTTCGAGACTCTTTTCCAATCTTCTCGCGTTTCCAGTTGGCACGTCCGGCCGTAGTCAGCAGGGTTTTGCTCCAGATGATCCGGACACCGCCCGTTTCCTCTGCGAGCTTTTGGATTTGGCCTCCAGAAACGGCCTCATCTAGAACCTTGAGAAAGTCATCTGCGATTTGCGCCTTCTTGTTGTCAAACGACTTCTTGCGTGCTAGAGCAGCTTTCTTCTTCTCTGTCTCTGCTCTCTTCAATGCCGTCTTGCTTGGAGTTTTGGGCTCTCTCTGCCTTTCACGGGGTCTTCGCATGTTTTCGGAGTTGGTATCATCATCTGACTCCTCAAATTCTCGTAGATACTGCTCTAATTTCTTTTCTTCTTTCTGCGGAGAATGTTGGTCGATCCAGTCATTGGTGGCGTCTTGGCTCCAGAAAGCATCAACGCTCTCGCGGTATGGGGTTGGTGGTATGCAGATCCTGCCCTTCGTTGGTGACCGAAGAAGGCTCTTAGAGGGACTGGGAGGTGGTGTTTCCAGAACCGCCAGAGAAGCTTCTGATTTCTTTATGGGTGAATCAGTATGTGCCGCAGTGCTTGTCGGGTATTAGCAGCGTGCAACAAATAATGAAGTGATATAATGGCCTAAAAATTGCCTGAAACCACTCACCTGTCTCTTTGAAGCTGGGAGTCAGTATCAGAGTCCTCTAGGTTCAGCACTTTGGCTTTGGTCATTTTGGAATCTTTCACGTGTGATTTCTCAGGTTTTGGTTTCAGCTGGGGGGTTGGTATTGTCATCGTAGGTGGCAGGGATGGTTCTAAGCAGAGGTCATCTTTGTATGAAGGGTTCATCAAAGCCTCCCTGAGCTCTGCTTCAGGGTTTGGTCGTCTGCCTCTTAACAACCTTCGCCTTGGTCTTGGGGGAGAAATCCTTTTCGGGATCTCTTCCTCCTCTAGTTCGTCTGCAGATGTCTCATGATAGCTCAGCTCTTCATTGTCACTGACTATGAAATCATCCAGGGAACTAAAGCTCTTGTCTCCCTCTTCATCTTCTGAATTAGACTCTTGTGACTGGCGATAACTCAGAAATCGGAGGTTTCCCTCCTTCTCTTCCATATCCTGGCGGGCATTCCTCCTTGTTGGCGAATACCGCGAAGAGGCATTGGATGAATGCCTGGATATTGTCTGTGCATTTTCCTCTTCCTCCCCGTCAATGGGGTCGTTCTCCTTCGCATAGTCGTATGTTTCCAGTTTTTGAGTTGGTCGGTTTCGTGGTTGTTGCGACAGTGGGAGCAGGAGTGAGTTGACATGTGCTTGCTTCAGCGGGACTGTCGTCTTGACTGCCTCCTCGGGGGCAGAGCTCGTGGAGGATTTGTAGTCCTCGTCCACGTCGCTCGACCCGTCACTATCGGGAAGTATGTTGAAGCTCGCTGCCAAAGTCGCCTTCTTTTCCCGTTGTGATCGATTTCTTCCCAGCGGTGGTCTCCCTCCAAATCCATAAGATCTGTCTTTGGCCCATGCATCGGTTGCTATCCTCCATTGTTCCTCCCTGTCTTCTTCTGCTTCTATTGTTGGTGACCGATCTTTGAATATGCGTCGGACGGAGGTGTGTGGTTCCTTCTTCTCAGATAATTTTTTCAATCTCCGAGCAGTTGTCTGCTTCGCCGGCGTTGCGTTGAGTCTTGCCATGATTCGTTGCCCGTCCTGCGGCTTCCCTCTGAGTGTTGTGCAGCTTGTCCCGCGTCTCCGATTGTGACTGCGAGACTGCGAGAGAGAAGTAGGGCAACGAAGACGATGTAGGTGTTCTATAACTTTGCTTTCTTGGTTGTGGACGAGAATAATGTATATATCATCCGTTTGCTGAGAAGATGGCCTCACGTTGATAGTCCGAGTATAAAGTTAGAAGTTGGTGGTTGACATGGCAACCGCATCCAGGTGACCCAGGCTGCTGTGATTATGCAGGACGGAGGTGATATATCTCGACAGCCGGCATTAAGGTACAGTCTGCAGGATGTGTATGTTTACTTGCTTTCTACTTGGGGGTTGTCTATCCGTCCACCATTTCTGTAGTAGGTATTATGTCTAGGAAAAAATAAACAGATGTTAGTACCATGGAAGGAGGGAAATCTACAACCACAAAAAAGAAAAATAAGAGTCAGGGCCCGAGCCGCGGATCGAACGCGGGACCTCTCGCAGATATGCTTGGGTTAATCCCTAAGCGAGAATCATACCACTAGACCACCCGGGCCTGATTGTTGAAGAGCCTCAGCTAAATAAGTTAGTGAATTAGCAAGCTACCAGTCGAAAAACTGCTTACAGCAGAAGGTCGTCTTCAGTGAGTTTCTTTGTTTGTTCGTCGCTGCTGCTGCTAATTGTTTGTTTACCAGATCTACCTATGAGCGACTTACCAGCATTTAAAACAAGGATAGGTATTGAACACAGCCGGGTCGGTACTTATGGATTTGTCTCTGATTATGCTGGCATCGGTGATATATTTATATCATGATCTCCGACAACACGAAATTCAAGAAACTCGCCCAGCAGAACCATAATCCCCGAAGAAACCCTACAATCTACCATACAGGGAACTCATGGAAGAGCACTCACGACCCAATGGATCAAGTAGGACTCATACGGAGTATATAAACGCCGTCCACCTGCTAGGGATAATAGGGATACATGTTTTTGGGCAAGGCCTGAACCTCTCACTCCCGGCCGGATTCACAGCATGAACATTATAGCCGCAACCACAAGGGAACCATGCATATACTCTGTTCGCACAATGCCGGGACTAGAGACCGCACGCCGCTAATGTACACAGAGCCGAAAATCTACAGTAGAACCATACCAGCCCCGGCAGCAATGGCTGTAATCACATACAAACCGAGCTGCCAGATACCAACTGTGACTCTCCCGGGAGCATTCATGTATGCAGCACCCTCAGAGGTCGACGCTGATGCACTACCAGAGGAGCCAACCGCGGCCGCACCCGCAACCCCAGTCGGGGAGCTAGTTACAGTGCCTGTACCGGAATTGCCAGCCTCCTTCAAAAGCGCGGAGCAAGTGCCGCTGGGACTGCTGGAAGTCCGAGTGGATGCAGCGCCGTTGAAATCGCAAGCAGACTGGGCCTTGCCCTTGGCAGACTGTTGCTCGTAGTAGAGATTCATAGCATAAGACAGCTGTTGCTTGGGACTGCAGACACTGTAGGCGCCATACTTGCCGGTGGTTGCATTGGTAGTCACTCCCTCGCAGACATCATAGCCGCAGACGGTCTCAAAGAGCTTCTCGATCTGGTCGCCCGATACAGTGTCCTTCAATGCGCAGCTTAAGCTGTCCTCCATGCACGAGCAAAGGTCGCCGTTTGGCGAGGGTGGAAGGGGACTCGCAGTTGCAAGCCAATCGCCGTTGACCGGTGGGCATGACTGAAGAGCACTATTTGTTGGGGTGTATTCGCTCTTCTTGGTCCCAGAGGGAGTAGCACTAGCCAGCTGCTGGGAAAGATAGCTATAGTCGGCTCTAGTGCTTACCTTGTCGCCATCAATGCTAACCAACCCTGCGGATCATTAGTCGCAGAACGCAGGACAGATAGAACCACCAAACACATACCGTAGTTGTTGGCCTCCTGAAAGTACATATAAACAATACCACCGGACCAGACATCAGCCATCTTCGGCCCATAGAGCGCGGAGACTTCGGTGAACTTGCGAGGCTCAACCGCATTGCAACCATACTCAGCGAAGAAAACAGGGACCGAGTAGTCGCGGAACTCATCAGTACGAGTCGAGTAACCGGACTCTTCGTAGTTAGAATCACCACACCAGGAGTAGATGTTGTAGCCCCAGAAATCAATGCTCTCCTCCGCATTATCGCAGTTGAAATAATCGGCCATCTTCTCACGGATTGACGAATCGTCATTGGTAGCATAGCCGACACCCATTGGTCGGTAGTTCTTTGCTTTGATGTATGCCTTCATGTCTCTCACTGCAGCCTTGACGAAAGCACTAGCATCCGTTGTCTGTTTCGTATTTGATACTTCGTTTCCAGCAAAGAACCCGATGACGTTGGTATATTTGGCCAGAGCGTCAACCACAGTGACGTATCGGTTGAAAAGGTCGCTATCCCACTTTGGGTCGTTACGTATAATAGATTCACCCGGGGATGAGAGGTCCGCAATCACATAGATACCGGCCTGGCTGAGAAGGTCCATGCACGTCGTATGGTCCGCGGTTGGGTCGATGGCATATACACGAATTGTGTTGGTACCAAGCTTCTCGAGGTATGGAACGTCCCGCTTACAAGCATCGGCATCGGCCAGAGGATCCTTGAAGCTGTTCGAGGACTGGCTGCCGGAATAGTCCTGCTGGTAGGCAACGCCTCTGATATAAAACTGGGTGTCATTGCTCTTGTAGAAGAATTTGGACCCCTTGATGACGATAGGGTCTACATCTACAGCGCTAGCACTGCTGGCAAACAGTATAGCACCTGCAAGGATGCTGCTGAACCTCATGTTGATGCTTCAAGGAAGGAGACTGGATCTAGACCACGGAATACTCAGAGTCAGAGTTCAGGTCGAGTGTCGTGTACGAAAGAATGGTAGCTCTAAAGCGGGATTCAATTAGGAAGAGTTTTTTGAAAACGAAGGACTTTATCGAGCGAATGAGCAAAAGACTGTAGATGGGAAAGCCCGAAGAAGATTTCAAAAAACGACAGTGGTATTAAGAAAGAAGATGAAAAGAAAGACAAGCACGCAAGACAAAGACAAGCGACACTCTACGGACGAATGTACGCACGACAGGAAGACAAGGTGAGCCACTTGAGCCCTGGAAATTCGTCCTCTTCTATGCGGCAGGCAGACCCTACTCCAAAGGCCTCAGGGAGTCGAGGAGAGAACGCAGGGCCCACCATCATCCCGCTCTGCTGGACCCCAGGGCATCCTGCATGGGGTGATATTCATGTTATCCACTGTTGATCGCAGGCGATAATCGGTGATCTTCCCGTCCCGCGGGCTGTTATTTGCTCGGAAGCAGATGGTGGTGCCCTTGGCGCGGGAGATGTCGACATCAGAGGGCATCCGGAACACGCAATGCAGGTCCACACCTCAGACGATCAGGGCTCCGAAACCATTGGAGTCTAGTTTAAAGAGGGACAACAATAAAAGCTTATTCAAACCGTCAATCAGCAGCGTGTTGGCGAGAAAGCGACTGTATGCGTCGTGTACCGAGCGCAAGCTGGTACCTTCCCTTTTCAGAGGTTGTTCGGGAGGAAGGAGCAGAACTACCTCTATGAAGTAGGTGCCATGTCTACCTAGCGACAGCCCTGGAGGTGTGTATGCATCTCGGCCATTCAGGTTCGAACCCATGGCACGTTGCATGGAAAAAAAGAAAAACCTGTGCAGAGAGTGGGCGAATGCTATACCCAAGCCACTCGGCCACAAGGCCATGTTCGCGTAGCAAGTTTACTCCAGGTCTACAATCTATATCTCATATTCCTGAAGATTGACCAAAGTCGAGGTCGTGCACAATCGAGTTTTATCATTATTCTCTAGGTAAGTTTTAGGTAGTCGGTACTAATTACCTAGAAGATCCTTCAAAGCTAACGTCATATACCGTTTATTGTTCTCTCAGTACCCAAACATTATCAAGCAGCAGCAGCCTACTTGAGAAGAAAATAAAGTAAGAACATGTCCGAGCTAATCGCAGCTTATTGGATAGCGAGACCCAATGTAAAAAAAGAGTTGTGCTTCTCTTTGAGCATGTCTTCCAGCTGAGTGCCATGCAAGCCACTCGACTATCAGAGTAGCGGCCATGTATACTTGGAAGCTTAGTACGGTACGGAGTATATCTGGCATGGTCCATCAAGGTGTTGTTTTCTTGTCGGTAAAGTATCCATGTTGACTACCTCTGTTCTGGGGAATCATACTTGAAAAGTGATGTGGCTGGGACATGAGCCTTGTATATAGTTGTGGAATAATGTGGGCAGAGTCCCGGTCTTTGATGTATATATGTTGATAGAACACAACATCTGAAAATCTGATCCAGGGAGCTTACATGGGCTGACGAGCACGTTTTTATGGGTTACTACTTATTGGGTCAGAAATGTTACAGCAAGGTTGGCCGCCTCGCAAGCCTTTGTAAAGCTTAGGATATCGAGTAAGCTCTGTGGTACGCAGTACTTAACCTACGTAAGCATCCAACAGTATGAGGAGGCCGTGTAGAACTTTGTCAAGAAGCAAGGCCAAACCTAAGTATACCATATTGCGATAGATTTGAAATCTCATTCCCACACTTGCCAAAGCCGCCGTTCTCTGCTCTTAGCTTATCCTTTAGCAGAATTCCACCTGCTGTGATACATTAAACTTGGCAATCGACATAAAGGAACCATTATAAGCTTATATCGCCACACACGCCTTGAGTCGTGCCTAGCTTGAGCCTTGAACATATTGGGACTGGCCTACTCAGCGCAATAAAGGCAATCGGAAGTCAATTAATAAACAGCTAAAGACGCCGGCCGCTTGTCAAGTTGACAGTGTATTTGAGTAAACTCGATTGTATTCCGAAAGCATCACATAATGTGAGTGATGAGGGGCCGGCCTCTGCGGACCGCGAATCCCTGATGAGAGCTGAATGTTGAGAGTTAAAGGGTGAAACCTCCTTTTCTGGTCCATGTTTGACCATTCAATCACAGCCGTG